AATAGACCCTGCAGAGGTCTCACCAAAAGCTTAGGCAATGAAGACACAAATGCAAGGGGGAAGAGGTGAAGAAGATAATTTTATTCCTTGTTCTCAAAGTGAAATATAATTTTCAATTAATTTATTCTACAGATGATTTGTTTTCTGTTTCTCTGGTAGGTGGAGGGAGACCTGCATTTAGCACTGTATTGAGAGGTAGTGGTCAGGGTTAAGTGGGTCAAGTTCAGGGACTTTCTATCCATGCTGCTCTCTGTAGCAAGTACTCAAAGTGTCTACTCTGTGGTTAAGCAAGATGAACTCAAGACATGTGAACAGTAGAGATTATATTGTTATATTTTACCCATATCTTAGAGATTATATTGTTATATTTTACCCATATCTTATCAGCCTTACATAAACAAGCTACAACCAATCTTAATGAGCAAAAAGCATTCATGATGTCGTTCAGGGAGAGATAAAAGCTTTTGAGGATGCTTGAAAATTGGTGGACTGGTTTAGGCTTGAGAAGAGGCTCATCCCTGCACATATAGAACACCTACTGTATCAAGATATTGGAGCAAAAGCAGATGGGAGTTTCAGATTCAGCATAGCCCATTTTTATTCAAATCACAGGAAATGCCTCAACCTCAGGACCATGTTTAGGGAAAAAGCATGGGAATACAGCCAAATAATCATGAAAAAGCTCTTCCCACACATCTCTGTCTTGTTCCAAGCATGGGTAGATATCAAGCTTTCCAAGCTTTTCTGTTTTCCAGAAACAAAATATGTGCTTTCACACATAAAGAAAAGAAGAGGAATAACATATAACAGATGGGGATTAGGCTGACATGAAGTTGAGAAGGTAAAACACTAATTTACATGTCTGCCAGTGTCTTTGGCAAAGTCATTTTGCTTCTCTCTTCATGCTCACTCAGATTTAAAACTCCTCAGGATGGGAATGGTCTTAGTTTAACCTGTTGGTGCTGCAACAATCCAAATAATGTTATATAAAAACACATTATAAGAAACAACCAAACAAAAAACTGGAGATGTGTAGATGAGAAGGGAAAGAGATATGGGTGAAAGAATGTGAAAGAGGAAGACGGATAGGGAGAAAGAATGACTTAAAATGAAAAAGTGAAATAGGACTAAATGAATATGAGAAATTGAAAGCAAATGCCTATAATTCTGAGATGGGGTGATGCACATGGTTTACATTCTACTCTCCTTGTAAAAAAATGGAAAGACTTGTGAAACTGATCCAAAGGGAGAAAAGTGCAAAGCAGCTAAGCAAAATTGACACTTGATGCCAGTATGAGCACCAGTGCTAATACCATCCTGCTCTTCACCAACTCTCTGCCAACTCTCTCTCTCTGTGAAATCTTAGATAGCATTTTAGTAATTTGAATGGATAAGATACTGGAAGGCAGTGGAATCTCTCTTTAAAGATCCAGCGCAGGTGTAAACCCATACTAATATGCCATTATTTATTAGTCCTTGAAGGTCGTCTTCAACTTGTGCTAACATAATCCTTCTAAAACCTTCTGGTGTCTGGGGCTTGATTCTTTTCTGGCAATACAGAGGTGCTAAATATTTATGGACAGAGATAAAAATAAAATACAATTTACAGCCTCTTTATATGAGTCTTTAGCTTTAGTTGTAACTCAGATAAAAAGGTCACAAGTGACAGCTAAATAGCTTTGAATATTGTAATATAGTATGACCCTAAAGGAGATAACTCGGCCTAATGCTTTTTGACATTGATGGAAAGACTTTTTGTCTCTCACAGATGTACTGAATACATCTCCAAGAAACTGGATGAAACTTAACCAAGGCCCAAATTTACTAGAATTTAGTAACCATCAGGGGATAGTCAATGAGAATGAGAGTCAATTAAGTGAAAAGGCAGTTGCAGTAGCATGCTTTGTGACCAATAAACTTGTTATTCTTGAGAGGGGCCTGCAGCCATAAACCCATGAAGGAAATATTGCCCAGGAAAGAAATTGCCAGGAGGTAATAATAAACTTACCAGACCAAGTGAGGCTCCCAACAAAGGAGCTCAAGTTACACAAATGTCAATCTGTTTCTGTATTAACTAAGTTTAGCAAGGTTTCTTACCCAAAGTCAATGAGCCTGTCAGTTGACTCCTCTCTTCTACTAAACTAAGGATTTTAAAATAAAAGTCCAAGAATTGGCCTCCAAGTACACCACCAAGTACAGCTGAGACTTTTAGCAATCTTCTCTCTTTGTGTCTCATGTGAAACTTTTCCTAAGGTGTCTTTGTGTGGCTATTAGTTACTGTACTTGCTGCACTGTCACACTGTCATAAGTTTTATGATGGCAAGTGAAAGTGTTTCCTTAAGATGTCTTCTGAGAACCTCTTTAGTTATGGATCATTCTCTAACTACACATGGGAGGAAAAAAAAAAGTAATAATGAGATTTGTAAGGAGCTGATTTCTTTCCATTTTCCCTGAAAATGACCTAAACGGAATAGATCATTTACTGATGTCTCCTGTAAATGCATCCTCTGTGCCTACAAACAGAAACAACTTTCAGCCAACATATTAAACTTGGACAGGTGTATAGCAATAATTTAAAGCCCTTTGTGTACAAAGTAATGATTAATAACAAAGGCATATGAGGAACTGCAAATAAGAGTATAAAAAATGACATACAAGAATTGGAAATATGAGCTTAAAATAAAACAAGATTCAGCTTGGAATATTGCATGTTAACATATTCAGGGAAATGTAATCTGAGATAATATCCTCAATGGGAAAAAGAAATCTGGAAATCATTTATGTTTCAAAGGAGTCTTATGGCTGATTGAGAACAATAAAATAGATTGATATGTTTAGAGTTCCACTGTAATGAAAGCAGCTCATCTGGGACTTTCAAACTCAAGTTTGTTGCTGCTGTAACTGAGGCTGGAGGCCCATTAATAAATCCCTCAAGACTCAGCAGTCTTCTACAAGCTGATTTATACTTTTTTTGAAAATACGTCTGGAAGTGTTTACAAATTCATGGTATTTTAAACTGATCACCTGCCCTGGAAAAAACTGTGCTTTTGAGTCGATGATACTACACCTGGAGACAGTTAGCTCTAGCAATATGGTCTGATGAAGATCTGATTGATCACTGTTTTCAATTGAGTGGATAAGGCAAATTCCTCCCTCCAATTTATGTATAATAAGGAAGTCATGAGTCCAGATTCACCGACATTAGCAGACATAGATATTGCTTCTGTTGGCTTCTGTTGTAATTTGAAAGGGGGCGGTGGCGGGGGCAGGTGCTAATTTGGTAAGAGATGAATCCCTTTGCATTCCAGCTAATCCTTGGAGGTAAGACTAACATGATGGCTGGACTCCTTGTTTGTAGGAATATCAAATACTGTGGAAGCTACAGACCCAACTCGCACGGTACCGGGTTCAAAAACAGTTTGTTGACTATTGGTCTGATTGCCTTCAAAATGAGTCCAGCTCACGAACAGTATGATCAACTATAGGCCACACTCTGGCAGTACCAGATACACAAACAGTCTGTTGATTGTAGGTCCAATTGCCTTCAGAACAATGAATTGAGTTCTATGGTCGACTATAGTATGATCAGCTCCTGGCGGACGGGCAGATTGTGTCCCTAGGAAACCATGGAGGAGCAGTCCATGTGTACCAAACAATCCTAGAAGTGGCAATCGTGTGTCACCCCAAGCAAGCTTCTGTAATGCTAAAACGTCTCTTAGCCTAGCTTTTCTGTAAGTTCCCCTTTTCAAGCAATTATTCTACAGCTACTGGCACATAATTGCCAGTAGAAACTCAGGAAAGGAGTTTCAAATTTCTTAAAATAATCTAGAGTAAAAAAGGCAACCAGATAGGGAAGAATTTTGATGATGCCATAAATCATATAAATAAATAAATAAATAAAAATAAAAACTACATAAATTGACAAAGGCTTTTTCAATTCTAACAATATATTAGACATAGTCTCCTTCTTCTGCCTTGGATCTCTGATGCAGGTGGATCTAAAGCCATTTAGGAAAACTGGCCTAATAGGGCAACCATTTTGATCTCCAGACCTTTGATTATCCAGAAACTTTAAAATGTGAGTAGTCAGGACAGACAGACATACTTCTCTCCACCCTGTGTGCTGTTGGCAGAGCAATTTTGTCATGTTGAAAAACAAAATGTTAATTCCAGAAGCATTTATTTCCTTGAAGTATTGGAGCAATAATTTTATGTCTTCTTTAACACAGCTTTCCATTTTGTCAGTAGTAAGCACATTTTACTATTTTCGGAAATAATTTGTATCAGTTGATGGCAGTAATAGGAATTTCTGTTTACTCTGTGGGAGATCTACAGACTCTCATGGCACATCTATTTATACTTCCATGCAGGAGTAAGACGTACCCTTAGCAGACAAAAAAGATTTGCATGATTCTCTTGGCTTCCAATGCTCACTTTATGATCGTCTTTTCCCCCTCTAGCTATTCTAATTGGATGTTCCCACTGGTTCTTGAGAGTTTTTATTTATAGGCATTTATAGGCAGTTATAGGCAGTTATCCTATAAATGGAGAAAGAAACAAACAGTATCATGTTCAGTATTTGGCAGAAGAGAACCAAACCTGGCGACCATTCATTCAGTATCCAGATGGCTTCAAGTATATTTTAAATTCTAGGCAAGGGACTTAGGTCTCTCTGTATCAGGACAAACTAGACTTCAGGAAAGACAGGAGCTCTGTGGTGTATGCAGCACAAATTTGCCTTGTAGAGACAGATAAAGGGAGTTTACAACCAAAAGTTTTCAGACAGATTTCAAGTGATATTTTGTATGCTCTTTTTTTTTTTTAATTCATATGCTTGCTCAGCAGGAGTAGTACAATTAATATCAGCTCCTCCAAATCACTGGTGGATAAATGAGTCTGAAATGATGGTGGTCTGCTAGGTGCTTGGCTGGTATCAAAATTCTGTGCTTGGTTGGCCAGCATCATGCTGCTGGTGAGGATGTGAGGGGCAATGGCTCTGCTCACAGGTTATTAAGCAGCCAGTCCAGGACTGGCAACCGATCAGCATTCCCTAGAGCCTCACTAGACTGCCTTTCCTTCTCATATTTCAGCATTGCTTGTATAATTTCTCCAACTTTGTATCCCTTCTCCACTGCTATTGATGACAGTTTCTGAAGCTGTGAAAAAACAAAAACACAACAAAATGCAAGTGTGATACATCAGAAATTCTGCTAAGGTTGAGTATTTTTAAGATGAACTGAGATGTGCTCTGTGTGTGTGTGAGGGAGATGGTGATGTAATAAATTATCTCAGTCAACTACTTCCATTCTCCTTTTTGGAGGTTTATACTCTTTATGGCTGGGCTCTAGGTTTCTGCCACCCTAGAAACAATTACAGTGGGAGAAGATCTGCAGTTTGCTAAGTCATCAGAAAAGGGAAAATGACTTCAAACACAACTCAAGCTTCTGTTCATTATTTAAGTTGAAAAAAAATGTATATGTAGAAGGAGTATAGGGTGAAAAGTAATTTTGAATTCTAAATTGTTTTGATATTCAGAATTCATAGCAATTCAGTAGCACAGTTAAAAATTGGAACAATTCATGATCTTTATCATCTTAGTATTCCTTTGTTAAATGGATTTGCTATTAAAAAAATTATGAATATAAAAAAAGCTTTACGTAATACATGTTGAAAGCAAGTGTATTTTTACCTTTAAAATTAAACCTACCAGATCTGTGGAAAAAACAGCTAAAAATTTTAATCACCTTTGTACTGAACTAAAAGTACATATATTGCTTTACATCTCTAATTCCTGCAAGCTTACTATCTTGTAACGAGACAGTAGTGTTCATTTTACCACATTGATATCCTAGGCACTCACTGAAAGAAATGAATATATTAAAAAAATTTCTTGAGAAAGAGATGTTTGTTCTCTGAAAGACAGTAACATTGGGAATTGGGGGAAGATAACAAATACCTGAGCCCAATCACATTCTAATTTCTGCCCCACTTACCTTATCCAGGAATTCTTCATCATCATCCAAGAAGTACAGCACAGGCATGTCTGTCTGAGAGGCAACCATCCACTGCAACAGGGCTCGAACTTGTTTGTTATATACGTTTTCAGAAGGATTCTGATTAATCACCACCACCCTGTGACCTGATACAGTTTCTTCACTAGATCCAACCATAGAGTCTGCAGTTCCTGTGCCCTTTGAGCCTACTGATTCTGTGACATCTTCCCTGCTCCCTGTGTCTGTCGGAGATGACTCAGGGTTGCTGTATTTAGCTACCATAAGACTTAACTTTGTCACTGTATCCACTAGATTGTCAATAAATTGTGCACTGCTCCCATCTTTTCCACTTAGGTCAAGCTGATCAGTAAATATTTTAGTCAGTCCAGACATGGCCTCTTCACAGGATTGCTCGACATCTGAAAGGCTAATATGTCCTTCAGGGCTTTTGCCAGAACTCTGTTTTATTTCATCCATGACTGGATTTCCAGGTTGACCTTCTATTTTGCACACAGTTTCATTTATTAACTTCCGGACGAGCATCAACATAGCACTAGACATGCCATTTTCAGACTTCTGTCTTTCAGTGTCAGACTTCTGTGAGTCTGATTCTTCAGCCTCTTTCAATGAATCCTGACTTTTCTCTGAACCGTGTTGGAAGGTGGGGCCATATGAGGACTCCTCTAACAAAAGCCCAAAGGTAGCAGGACCTGGTTTGCTATTATTGTTACCTTCTGTTTCTTTCTTGTTGGCATTCTCCTGCTGTATTAGATGATACTGTAGCAGCAATAATGCAGTTACAATCAAGCGCTCTGCCCATGAATCTGATGAGCTGTCATCAACATCCTGAGTTTCTGAACCCCAGGGCATGTTGTCTGGTGATCCTGTTCTGGTTTCCCTTCCTGGTTGTGATTTTGAGCACTGGCTGCACTGTTTCTGGTTTTCATGCCAGAGGGTGAGCCCTTGCTTAAGGATGTGGTTACCCACGACTTCTGCACAGGTCATTTCTTTTGAAAATGTTTCAGATTTTGTTGCTGCAAACCTCAAGTTCTGAGCCCTTGCATCTGCTGTTCTTGAACCTGTCTTCATAGATGCATAAGATAGACTCTGAGATCTATCTCCTCCAGGTTTTTGCACTATTAAGCTAGAATGTAAATGATTCAACATTGCTTGTACAATTTCTGCAGTCTTACGACTTCCAACTGTGAACAGAGTCTGCTTCACTGAAGAAGCAAAATCTGTATTAGTCAAAAGTTTGCCTGTTACATCGTGTAAGTTTTTCATACAGGAGTCAATGAAGTCTGAAACTACTGCCTTCGAGTGCTTCAGTAAAACATTTTTCAGCACAATACAAGCTATATTTGAGTCATTTGCCTGACCTTTCATGGTTTTCATAACTGAGACCATCATGTCTGAAACCACATTATTGGCATAATTTAGTATCCCTTTGCTTAAAGTATTTGTAAATTCATCTTGGCCAAACTGTTTTCCATGATTGCATTTTTTGTTTTCCTGGACAGGCTCATTTCTATTGGAAGACTGTCTTATTTCTTTATAAAAAAATGCTTTCTTGGAAGGTGGATTCTCTTCAAATTTAGTTTCTTTCATATTGACGTTCTTTGATGGATTATTTTTATCTTCGTTTGTACCTACTCCAACAGATTTATGGCCAGGTTCCCCAAGAAGAGCAAAATGTGTCTTGTGTATACATGAGTCAGGACCATCTGACTTTTCATTGATCTCTTTATGTGCCATTGCAATGACAAGGTTAGAGAGTTTGTCAGCATAAAAGGAAACTTCATCTAGCTCCTGATTGCCTTCTATAGTATTAGCCTGATCATCTGTGTCCTTTGGCTCCTTTGGATTTGAAGTAGCTTTTACCTCAAAATGAAAATCTGGTGATCCAGTGTTGGATCTGACATCCATGCTAATATGTTCACCATACACACTGAATCCTCCTGGTGATATACTATGCTGCCCCCCATCAGATGGTTCTCTTGAGTTTCCATCACCCTTCTGCTGTTCAGCAGTCTTTAGCACATCCTGAATGCTGAGTGCACATCTTTCAAGGTCTTTTCGAAGCCAGCTCAAGATTTTGAGTGGATCAGATGTAACCTGTTTGAAAACTTTTGCTGAATCAGTCTGAGGAATAAACAAAATGGAAATGCATGAAGGTTTGCTACCTAGTTGGCACAAAGGCTCTTCCTATGTGCATGTACCTGATGAAATTCTGACTGGTCTTAGTGATTACAGAAGAATCAGTACATATATTGACATCAGTAGTATGATATCAATGAAACAAAAGGCCTCCATAAATGACAGTAACTATGTAAATAACAAAGAAAAAGCTTGGTGCTTGATACGTTTGCCATTAAGTGACTAAATATTTTCTTAATATTTCTGTGAAGGGGTACTGTTGCTCTGTAAGTGATGACTATAGCTATCCCATATTGTGGATATTACTTATTTTATGTTAGATTAAAAACATAGTCTCTCATCCCCTACCCCTCTGTGCTGTTGTTGCTCCTTATAATCAATGTAGTCAGCCAGCTACTCCTCCTATGTATCTTTCTATAGCAAAAGGGGAGGAGTAACATGTTTACATGGGAAAGAGTGACAGAAAAGTCCCAGAATAGTGAGGGAATTTAGGGACATGTATCTCCATATTATTATTTTCTGAACTTGTTCAGGGACTTAAAATAACATGCGCTTTGGCCTAATGTTGCTCTTGAGTCAGCTTCTTCAGCATTTTACAAAATATATTACAAAAATATATTCAGTGAATCAAATACTAGGGGAAATGTGGGTTTACAGCATGTGGAAACTTCATACATTCACTCCTTGTCATTTAAGAGGTGGAAGTAATTCTAAAGGCAAATTTCTTAATCCCATTACCACTAAACGCCTAAAAAAAGCTTTGGTTTAAGAAGGTTTTGCACAGGGAGAAAAAATTTTACACTTAGCACTAAGGCTAGTGTAAGTTGTGGTAGACTTATTCTTATCTAGATAGGCATGAACTTATTTGGATAGTTGCAGCTCTGCTAGTTAACTGCAGAATGACAAAGGTTTGATTGAAGGAGCTCCCAGTCACCTGCTAGAATTCATGACACATCATACACAGCTTTGCAAGTGCACCATTGTCAGCAGAGTGGCCACAATAGAAACATCAGACGTGCACAGATTACATCTGTGCCACTCCTTATGGCCCAGAAGTTTCAAATCTTTTGGACTGGCATTAAACCTCATTTGGGTTCTTCTGACAGCTCCTAATGGTTGTGTTAGTTGTGCTATAGTTGTGCTAGTTGGGATGATCAATATATATGACATACTTTAGTGGACAGCTGTGCCATCAGCTAGGGATATTCTATCCTGCAGCTGTGCCACAAATGATTCTTTCCTCCTTATAGTTCTTTCTTCTCTTAGAATCTCCCTTATATTTCTATGTCATAAGGTATGGATTTCTGTCATTTGAATATGAACAGATTTTTTTATTTACCCTGGCATACATTAGTGAACACAGGGTAATGAACTGCAATCCTATATGACTCTCCATATTGTCTTCTTATCACTGCTCTTTGAGTGAATCCACTGAATACAGCTCTCTCCTACCCGCTACTTCCTCAGACAGGCTTCTTTCATTCTGCCATTTTCCCCAAAATTTATAAAAGCTCTAAGTACTGCAAGCTGGAGCCTGAACCTAACATAAAGATTCAGTGGAAACAAAATGGTAGAGTTTTTCTTTCTTTTTTTTTTCTTTTTTTTTTTTTTTTTACTTTCTTCTCATTTATTCTTTCTTCTTTCATTTCTACTTGCACATAGACTTTTTTTTTCTCTGCATGTGCTTAATCAAAAAATGTTTCTTTCCTTTTTTTTACTAAAAGGTGTAACTTTCTTAAAATTATTTAAACAGTCTTTTCTTTTTTTTTTTTTTTTTCCTTCTTGGGTAAATTTTGTATGTGCAAATGCATTTGCAAAATAATAATAATAAAAAGCTAACAAACAAAAAACCACTTCTTACTGTCCAATTGTGTTCTTTCTCGCCTCCAGGAGTATAACGATCCATTTTACAGAGCCCTCGCTGGCTCTGCAACCAGTCAATATTTTCAGACATCTCTGAATAAAAAAAAAAAAATCTTAGAATGGCACAGATATGAAAAGAAGTGTTTTTAGTATGTGGTAAATTATGGAAATACTAGGTTTTCAAATTTTTGGTAGAGAAGCCAGGATTTAATCTGATAGTGTTACACTTTGTTTACATTCACGGAACAAAGGGGTTGCTGAATAGATGGGACAGATTCACACTGAAACTGGGATTTTTCACAGGAAATGATACTCTTCTAATAATTTCTTTATGAAATGAAAATAAAAGTATCAAAAATAAATAACACTTTTGTAGGGGCAGCACGAAAATTTTGAAAATTCATGTATCTAAGTATATTACACACAGATTATGAAAGGTATGGAAAGTTCAGGTTTAATGCCTTAATTTTAGAAAATGTCCCCTGATTCTTTTGGAAGTGAGCTGTAATTAAATTGAGTTTTCAAAAATAACTTACTTTCCCTAGAATGCCTGTGAAAGTCTGAAGGGTTGTGATTTTCCTCACAATTTCCAAGAACAACTCCTGTAGGCAGCCATATAAAATCAGAGTCTATAATGGAGAAAAAAATTGTTTCCAGGATATCTTTGAAAGATGGTAATGCTAGCACTCTAATTTCACTAACCTTTAATTATTAAAAGTGTTGCAATGTATTTGAGAACAACATAAATCAAATGCAGCAATATTATCAAAGTTTCAAACCTCATTAGATGCTAAAAGCATAAGTGATTGCCAAAAAAAAAAAAAAAAAAAGGGGAGCAAAACAAGATGTTGTTAAAACTCTCATCAAACACCAGCTGCCTTTCATTCTGTTTTAAACATCTAAGGTATTGATGGTAAGATCCAGGAAGAGAAACACATTTGTATTATTATGCAGCTACATAGTCCACCTCCTTTATTTCTTCTTGTGCTACAAGTTAAGTAGATTGCCATAACACTCTGCTAAGTCGATCTTGCATAACATCAAATAACCTCAAGTAAGGAAAACTGCTACTGAACATTAAACCTCCAAATCTGGAATATCTAAAAGGGCACTGCACTCTGAGAGTGGGTCAGATATACTGAGTGGAGTCCAGGGCAGCGGAAGTTTCAACTACCAGGACAGCTAGTTCTGGCAGGAGGTATGCAGTTGGTGTGCACTGCTTTCCTTGGATTTACAAGTGAAGTAAAGAAGCTACATTAAATCCTAAAGGTGTTGTGGGTATCTCATGTTCCTTCTATACTTTGCACTGAGGTCTGGGAGATATGCTTGCAGTACACCCTTCAGCTTCCTCTCCCTGTGCCACTTTCAGTCTCAGTGATCTAGTCTAACATCTTTTTCATCTGAAGTTGAATTTAGCCTGCTGTAGATTTTAGTTTATTTAAACACAGACTTTTATGTCAATGCTAAAATATTATGTTTGTGTGGGTCATTTTAAGTGGTCCCTCTGTTTTTTCTCAATATTAGTTACTGTTGTATTATGAGAATGAAAATTTGTAGATATGCTAGGACAAATTAGGTTACCATTCTTACAAGAATAAAGGAAACAATGACACTATATACAGTGCACACTATATACGGTGCACAAATACAGGGAAAAAAAAAAGTATTGTAAAAGTTAGAATTCTATATAAACAGAGGAAATTTTAGGATTGAGTTTTTAACTTCAAAAATATACTACTTACATCAAATAAAGTTAACCAATGGCAATAATATCAGTATGTTGTTTTAATATAGTGCTTTTCATTATTACATTTCTAAATGTTTCACAAATGAGGTATTATTATTCCTCTTTATAGTTGGAGAAGCTGAAAACCAAGAAAGTGATGTGGCTTCCAGAAGTCACACAGCTGACCAGCAATAGAACTGAGAAGGCATTCCAGGGTTCCTGAATTCCAGCTTTGTCCTTGGTCCACTGACAATGCTGTAACTCCCTTCTGCCATCTACAGTAAATAGTCTAGCTTCATCTGAATCAAGTTTTTAAGTAGCATCACAGGAAAAAATCTTGTCACACATAGATCTCAATATCATGGATCTATTGTTTTGCACTCAAAAAGGCCTTTGTTCTGGTACTTGGCACAACTTAACTGCTGCAGAAACAGCCAGTTCTTTGGGAAAGTTACATTACATCTTAAAAATAATTTTTAATTTATAGGTATTACCAAATGAAATAGATGAAACACAGCATGTACCTAGCAAAGGTATTTCCTTTTTTTCTTCCATACTGACTGCCTTTCTCCTGAATGCCAGGCTAAGCCTCCTAAACACTTCAGCAGAGAAACACATCAGAAGGTGAAGGTGAAATTTCAAAGGAAGGGGAATCTTCTGCCTGCAGTTCTTCAAAAGCAGGTATCTGCCTGCTGTTCTTCACAGTCTCTTTCACAGAAGTCAGATAAAGAATAAGGGAGACTATGGGTAGGAGAAGGATTCAGAAGCAAATAAACTAAAGCTATGTCATTGTGGTTTCTTAAGCTATAGAGCCATCCGGACAAACTCAAAGGATGGTGAATGAAAATGGAGCCTCCAGTCAGAAATTCATGGTCTCATTTTTCCCTCACATGAATTTAACAATCTCTAATTTACTTGGTTCTGAGTAGCCCCATAAGAAGACTTTGTTTTACCTTTTAAGTCTTGCATGATCAGCATTTGTAAAACAAAGAATTGGAGTTTCCTACCTCAGCAGCATTGGTGTGTTGGTCCCAGAGAGCTTGAATGGATGGTTTTATAACCAAGTTGTTAAGTTTTTCTCACCAGAGAGACTCTGTGGTCTCCCTCTTTTTCTGCTCCACCTGGGAAGCAGTGACATCACAATGCCTCTGGGGACACCGATGTTTGCACAGCAACAGTAAGGAGGGTTCCAGGAGATCAACAGTGCAGGGCCTCCTAGAAACTGAGGCATGCCTTGGCTATATGCACGTGCAAATAGTCTGCCCTTTGTCTGGAATGGGAATGCTGAGAGATGCCAGAAACACTCATGTAGCTTTTACTAAATCCTCACATGTCTTAGATGTTCTCTAACTTTTCTTGGTTTTAAATAACCCACTAATCAGCACTTTAGCATTTTGAATTGTTTTGAAAATCAAATCCAGCTCTCTTTAATTTACTCATTTAACTGTAGTTGGAGCTGTAACAATTTGGATGTATTCATTATCTTAGTGCCTTTTTATGACTGTATTACTCTAACACATGAACATGTATGGTCAGCTTGTACATATTATGCCCACAAAAACACTGTTAAAATAGCAAAATGTTCTTTTAGAAATAAAGAACAGAAAGCATAAACTCTGAAAACGAGCTATTCTAAAATTGCAGCAGAAGATGGTGGCAAGCCTGGAGTAAAAGACACATCTCATTTATAGCTTCTTGCCTTAGTCTCAATCCATTCTTATCCCCATTTTAGGGTGTTTTTTTTTGTTGTTTTTTTGTTTTTTTTTTTTTTAAATGTATTCCTTTCCCTCAGATGTCACTGTAAAAATAAATGTGGGCTAAGTTTCCATAGTGAGAGATTCTCATTTATGTTAAATTGAGAACAAAAATAGCCATGGGAGATGGCAATCACGGCAGCAATTGCTGGGGCGAAGGGAAATACATATATAAAAATATATAAATATAAAATATTTGCTTAATCTGCATTTATAGTTAATTTAACTAGGCTAGATAATTCAAGATATAAATAATGAGTTACTTATAATATTCTAAATCAATCCAGCTCAGCAGTGGCCAAAAGTTACTGTCAATTAATTGCTTGACTTGATCCATTTCCAAACAGACTAACATTTATAAGATGGCATCAACTCCTTTACAGATTAAACAATTGCATCAGGAGGAGCTGGGGGTCCTATCCACAAAGAAAATAATCTCTCTTGGGTGCTTCTAAAAATCCACCTCTCCAGAGCTGTAAATCTAAACCCACCACGCCAAGTATTCTGTCAGAGACACCTGAAGCAGGCAGCAGCGGGATGCTGCGCCGGTCGCTGCTAATGGCCGCACCCCAGAGCGGGGGGAAGGGAGGGAGCTGTGCCCAACGGGCACGACGGGCAGCCCAGCTCGCAGCAGCCGCGCTACGCGCAATGAAGCTGCGCTTCTGCGCAGCTCTCCTAACGGTCGCTTCTCCCTGCCAACTCTCCCGCGAGCCGAATCCATGGCTCCTGCGCATGCGTCGGTGAGCAGGTTTGGCTCTGTCTGCTGTCCGTCCACCGTGAAGGTTTGTGGGTAAGGCAAGATGGCGGCTGTTGTGTCTTGCCGGCGGTTTTTTCGCGGCCTGTTGTTGCCAAGGGCAGGTGAGTGTCACCGCCGCGGGGGGCGGTTCGCGAGCTGCCGCTTCCTGTCTTTACTGTTTAGCAAATGTCCTCTGCTCGGAGGCGTCTAGGCTGCCCTTGTGCTCTCCTCCTCGGCGGCCTGAGATAGGGCAGGTCAGGCTGGTAGGGGCTGCTTGTAATGGCTAGTAGCAGCCTCGGTTCGCGGCCCTGCCCCCTGCCGAGATCTCACCCGGGAGTATGTGGCAGCTCTGTGCCTGTTGCCGCCGTGCGTTATGCGCTGCTTCGAGAGAAGGCAGGATGTGCTAGATTGTTCTGTGCTGTGCCATCCTATAGGTGTGAGCTGCCCTCATCTCACTGCACTATCCTTGGAGTAGACCTGAGCTCCTATAGCTGCATCTGGGCAGCAGCTGGCTGAAGTGATGCACACTACCTATAGAGCTACATAAGCTTTGTCTGTAAGAGCTGTAGTTCCTCTTCGGGCAACTATAGTTTGTAGTGCACAGTGAGGTGTGCAATTTGCTCAAGCTACAGGCTTATCTGTGTAATACTAACAATATTTCACTGGGACTGTCAAAATCTCTGTGTATGAGATGTTGTCCTGCAGGCTAAAGGTTTGGATTATTTTTATGATCTTGTGGGTAACTTTGGCAGTTTGGTTTAGGACGGTAAGCATGCTTAGACTCATAACCAATATCCAGTAAGGGCTGTACATTACATATCCAGAAATAATAGTAATATAATAATAATTAATAATAATAACAATAATATTGAATAGACTGTAGTTCATGAGGAAGAATCTTGTTGTTTTGGGGCAGAAATCCCTGGTTAAGTCTGTTCACGTATAGTTATAGGACAAAAAGCTTTGAGCAGCATGTACTGCCTGGAAACACTAAGCCCTTTTAGTCTGTGTTATCTGTGTTAACTAAGCCTTATATTTTGGCAGGGCTCCATAAAGATGGGCTGTTCCTGGTGGTGAATGTAGAGACAGAATTCCTGTAGCTTGGTTTTGTTGGAGATTCCATACCCTTAAAACTATAGAGCAAATCAGCTGAGCTTTTCAATTATTCGTTGTTTCATGTTTTTTGTTATTCATACTGCAGTGGTAGTTGAGCGTTTGGTCACATTAGTTAGAGTGTGATATCTTGTGAAGCTCCTGTACAGTATTTGCAGTATATAGCAGGTAAGAGTGAGTGTATGGCATATGAGTAAACAAAAAAAAGACAATAATATTATTCAGTGTGACAGAGATGGTAACAGTCTGCCATCAACATTTTTATAGAAATAGTATAAAATTTTAGTTAGGTATAGATTTAATTTTACGGGTTAACTTTCTAGTTCTTCTTGCAAATCTGTTGATCTGTTTAATAATGATTTTTATAATATGCTTACAGTGAATTAAAGTCTTGTTTGTGTGTTGTACTGTAAGGACGGAAACATTCTCATCTTTCAATAGTGGAGATATGGATATTGGAAGAATTACCACTATTGGGTGCATTTTCTTCAAGTCTTGAGAAAGAAATATATGTGAACAAATTACTGAAAAGTGTTATGGATCACCCAAATTTATCTTTCACCATCTCAAACAGGGTACAAAGCAGTAATTTTGTGCATATGAAGGAATTCTGCTAAATGTAAAGAACCGTTTTTCTTTGAGTGAATGTGTGTGTCTGAAAACAGGCACTGCTGTCTCCCATTTTGTGTTGCAGGTTCTGGCGTTTCTGCATTATCTGCATTGCCACCTAGATTGCAGAAGCACCGCCAAGTTCATCATGCGGTCATCCCTCATGGAAGAAGTGGGAGGTCCTCCGTTAGTGGCATTGTGGCCACTGTCTTTGGAGCTACAGGCTTCCTGGGACGATATGTTGTCAATCGTTTAGGTAGTGACATGGACTCCCAATTAAGAATTCATGTCTGTAGTATTTCTTTGGGTTACAGAATAGCCCCAGATTTTTTTTTTTTTTATCTAAAAATTGAGCAGTGCAGATATATTTTTTGTAATACCTGTGTGAAAAGTAGTGAGAACAGCCTAGTTTTATTTTAGGAAAATGCAGAAATTTTTGGATATTGCACAAGTCATTATGACAAATACTTCTCTTTCATTTTGTATTTTTTATTTACTTATTTTTTGAGCTCATCAAATGTAATTCTAAGTCATCTCCTAGTTGGTTCTTCTGTTTTGAGCTAAATTAGGATATTTAGCTAAAATGTTTGCAGCAATATGGAATTTGATCAGATTTTGTTAAGACTGAAGTTATGGAGTTTTTTAAATAGTTTTCCTTTCCTCCTTCCTGTCCTGGTTCCCCCCCTTCCCCCTTCTGTCCTGGTTTGGTTCCCAACCCCCCTCTCCCCCCCCCACTTCCTTCCTGCCCTGGTTCTCTGCCCCCCGCCACTTCCTTCCTGCCTTGGTTCCCTCCACACCCCCCTTCCTTCCTTCCTTCCTGCCTCGGTCCCCCCTGCCCCCTTCCTTGCTGCCTTGGCTCTCCCACCCCCTCCCCTTCCTTCCTGCCTTGGTCCCCCCAACCCCCTCTTCCTGCCTTGGTCCTCCCCCCCCCCACTTCCTGCCTTGTTTCCCTTCTCCCTTCCCTTCCTTCTGTGTATTGATTGAGAAAAATGTTTTGTTTTATAGGTGTGTGTGTGTGTGTGGTGGTGTTTTTTTTTTTTTTTTTTTTTTTTAGCATTAGTTCACCCAGCTATTCGGGAACTTGGGAACATCCTTGCTTAAGAATGTCTATGATACTATGTGTTGGGAAACTTCACTACTTTTAGCTATGCGGGTGAATATTCAATATACCTGCATTTATTTGTTGTATTTTAATGTCAGTGGAAAAAAAAAAAAAGAAATAGCATGCATTGAGAAGATTATATCCTTAAAATTATTTAGTAATTTGACATAAATGAAAAGTTTTTTGAACACTTAGGTCGCATTGGATCTCAAGTAATCATCCCCTATCGCTGTGATCAATATGATCTCATGTATCTGCGACCAATGGGTGACCTGGGACAACTTCTCTTCCTAGTAAGTGATTTACTTTGATGATCAAACATGACACCATTGCTATACAATAGCTATACAGCTATCTTTTAGCATCTATATGGTAGTAATGTGAAAGAACTTTCTTTGTTAATACCTGTTTGTATGTGATCTCACTTCTTTCCTATTTGATTCTTTGGTTACAGGAGTGGGACTGTAAAGATAAAGACTCTATCCGAAGAGCCGTGGAACACAGCAATGTGGTCATTAATCTTGTTGGAAAGGAGTGGGAAACAAAGTAATTGTTATTATTTTTTTCTTAAATGGCTAGATTTGCAACGTGTATTGGACAGTGTAGCAACCTTTTGCAGCATGTTTTCATTGCACAGTGAAACTAGTTTTTCATTTACTTTCCTTGAAGGGACAAGATTGAAATCTTCTACATAAAAGTACTTCCATTTCTTTGGACGATTAACTGAAATTTGGTTATGATATACTCTTAGAAAGAACATTTTTTCGGTGTCCCATATTTTTTGTCTAATATACAGCGTTTGTCCTGTTGGACAGTCATATTTTTTTAAATCACTTTTGGATTAAAGCTCACAGTTTGGTGATATTTGATGCATGGTTTCTTAGCTGTGATAGAGGTTTACAAATCTCTGAGCTCATATTTGTGGTGTTACAGGTAGGTGGGCTTTCATCCTGTCACTTTGGTATACTGATGTTATACTGAATTACAACCTAGTAAAATAAACTGCAGTCAATTTTATGTTATTCTCTGGAAAATGTTAATAAATGGGAGTAGCCAGTGGAGCATTTCTAAGATGATAATAATATTTTTTTGTTATTGTTTGTTAACCTAATATTTGTTTTAGGTTAAAAATACCTGTAATAATATGAGGGTTCTTTTTAACATACAAGTAAGTTTGCTATATTCAAACTCTACTTAGTGGAAAACTGGCAGAGTAGGTTCTCATTAATTGTGTGATTTGCCTTTGTTTAGTACTTATATGTGTATATATATTTAAATTAAAACTATATTTCTCTGTGTGTGTATATATATATAATTTTCCTATTATAGCAGACAGAAACCAATGTAGATCTTAGTCTACATTTATAAGCTTAGTGCCTCTGTTGCCAATATTTGTAGACAAGCATTTGGTGACATAGCCTGAAATGCTATTTTTTTTCCCTAAACTAGTATGTCTGTTGGCAAGCATCCACTCTTTTCTAGTCAAGTGTCACATAACTTTTGGGAGATGCTTTAATTTGGCGTTCAAACTTTTTGAGGCACTTCTATTATAATATTTAGTCTTTTATTCTACTGTTGGAGTTTATAGCATGGTTTAATTCCTGAAGGGTGGCGGGGGGAAGAAAGAAAAGAGTACAATCCATCTAAACTTTGATTTTTTACTTTGATTTTGATCTGACAAGGTTTGGGGTTCTTTTTTGTCTTTTTTTCAGACTTTTGGAAATAGGTAATGACCTACAAACTAACCTCCCAAGATTAATGAGTGTTCTCAGTAGAATACAAATAGAAAGGTGTAATCTCCTATTACTGTCAGATAGAAGTGAATAATACCAATTATTCAACATAATGAATATGACATAATCTCCATTTGTCATTCAGATATGTTTTTCATGTGTACTTTCTTCAAATTTAGAGGCTCATGTGAAATTACATGGCTTATATAACAGAGGTCTCCTTGCTTATTGAAACTCAGCCTTTGGAAGTTCTATAACAACAATAAAATGAACGTTCATTGAAGCTTAAAAATATCTCAAATCTAGTTGCTGACATCTCTTTGAACAGAGAGGAATCAAAAATAGAGGGGTCTTGGTCTAAGTTACGTACATTTAAGTGTTAAAATGAATACTATATATTTCCCAGATACGCTTATCATATCTGAGAACTGCCATGTTGACACCAATGGTGATGTTGGAACCCTACAATAAAATTATATGGACAAAATATATGAATAACATAAGCAAGCTGAAAAAAAATGAGGTTAGAAATGTAAGTCAGTGAAAAACTAAAGCTTGCTGTTAAATGCTTTCCTTCTTGCCCAGTACTAGTATACAGTCTCATTTGTGTATACTGTGTTGTTTGAGAACTCCATAGCTACGGGAGAGATGTTGTTTGTTCTTGTGTGTTTTTAAAATCTATTTTTATGAGTAGAAGAGGATTGATGGTTCCCAGGATCAGATTAGCTATTGATGGGTCTAAAATTAACTTTTTATTTTTAAGGCTTTTTTTAGACTCTGGAAGGATCTGGAGAGTTGTGGTTAAGGACAGATAGATAAGTAGATAAGGACAGAGATAGGCATTTAAAGAAAATGCCTGTTACACCAAGGCAGATATAAAAGATGGAACAGGGTGTTTACAAGGGCAGTATTCAAACATAGGAAGTCAATTGTACCTTCCTTTCCCTGCCTCCTCCCTCATTATTCTTCAGATGATTAGAAGGAATTTGGGACTTCTTGCCAGACTATAGTGTCAGTTTTGTTTGAAGACTGAGCTGCTGTAGTATTTTTGATCAGATGCCAAGCAAGATTACAGTTGAATCCCCTATTAGGCAACTTGAATGTCATAAACTGAGAATTCTTCTGCGTGGTTTCCTTAAAGTCCCTTATAGCTGCTACATCTTAATTGCCACATCTATGTAGAATCTTCCAGTTGTTTCAGTGAATTCTTTAGTCTGTTTTGTCCAGTTTCCAAACCTGGCATCCCTCTGAGACTGCTCAGGATTCTTGAGCTCATCTCTAATGAAGGCATTGACTCACATTTTAGACAAGTGTGAAAATTGACAGCTTTGCACAGACTTCAATAAAGCAGAACTTTAAAAATCTGTTTTCAAATTGTAAGAGTATTTATTTACCACAGATAAATGGGCGAGAGGTTTTTAAAATGGATTTAATCTTAATAGAGGAAAAAAAGAGTTAATATTATTGTTGTAGCTGCAACTTTCTGTTATATTTGCGTTCTGTTTTGTTTTATTAAGACTCAGTAAAGGAAGCTCGCTAACAAAGAGTATCAAAATAGGTTTGTGAAATATGTCCTGGGATAGCTGAAGAATGAGCATGTTGCCAGTTGTTGGTTTTTTGGCAGCTAGTGTTCCTCTTAAAAATGTAAATTTATTTGTCTTGTTTTAGAAACTTCAATTTTGAAGATGAATTTGTAAATATTCCTAGAAGTATTGCCCAGATAAGTAGGGAAGCTGGTGTGGAAACACTTGTGCATATATCTCATCTGAATGCTAACATGAAGAGTCCTTCCAAATACCTCAGAAGTAAAGTAAGTACAGAATTCTTTGAAATATACTTTAAAATAATTATTTCTTTTTAAATGAGTATGTTTAAAGAAAAATTCTGTATGAATTTTCTGTACTAAAGAATTTTTTCCTCAACTGAAAATAATTTCTATGTGTTGTGGACTTAAACTGTGTGCTTCCTACAACTACAAATCCTGGTTAGTACTTCATCTTCTCTGAAGGGAAGTTCATTATTTATTCCTTATAATCTTTCCTTACTTGTATCATTGAATATGTTCTACATTTATAATTACTGTCACTATGAAAGGGAAACTGGTTTGGTGATGGAATGGATTCTGAAATCAGTCCTAACATGCAAGATTGGAGTGATCTAGTGAATGTAATTAAATAGTTGAGACCAAAATAACTGCTGCAGTGGTGAATTAGTGAGAATTAGTAATACAGTTTGTTACCTATTTCAGTACAAAAAGAGATTTTTTAGTTTTAATTAGGAGGTATATGTTTCTAGTATAGCTTTTTTCATACCTTTTTTTTTTCTTCCCTAGATGGATGCTGTCCAAGTTTCCTTTTTTTTTTTTTTTAAATCCATATGTTTCTGTTGTTTTGGTTTGTAGTATAAACACAACTTTCAATGCAGGATTAAAATATTGTATTCATAATTGTGCAATGACTCTATATGCCATGACTCTAGTTCACTAAACAGCAAATAGCTGCCACTGGTTTTTAAGTTGTAGATAAGCTGTTAGGGAGTGTTCCAGCAATGTAATAGATTTATAGTGTAGTAGATTCCAGATTTCTTCCAAATCCTGGTCTCATTTATGCCAGAGAAGTACTTGGAACAACTGATATGCTGGAGAAATACCTAATACTTTCTTCAGTTTTTGAGCTTAGTCATTTTAAGCATTAACTCTTCACTGTAAGTGCCAAGACTATACTAAATCTCATTTATGAATGGTTTACATGCTTATGGGACTTTTGGGGGTTTCTGTGGGACCTGTTTCTTATCAAAACATTGCAAACCTGAAATTGACCAACCTTGAGCATTCTGTGATTCTGTGATGAAATAGAAATAGTTTTGTGCTCCTGCCAGTATTATTTCACTGAGTATTGTAGTCAAGATGTGCTAAGTTCCAAAAGGGCATCCTATTCTGCGCTATTCAGATTGGGTCTAATTAACAACTGTTACTTGTATTTTTCTTAATTTAATGACAGGCAGTTGGAGAGAAAGCAGTGAAGGAAGAATTTCCAGATGTTATAATTTTGAAGCCCTCTGAGATGTTTGGGAGAGAGGACCGCTTTCTCAATCACTATGCAAGTATGTATTCTTGAAATATTCTTGTTTACCTATATCTAGAGGAAAAAGGGCAAGATATGATTATTGTCTTTTTGAAAAGCAGGAAGGTATATTTTTATCAGAAATACTGCCAGCTGTATTGCAAACTGGATAATGAAAATATAATAAATTTATGAAATGGTAGCTTCTGAATTCTTAGCTTCTTAATCCACTTAGACTAAGTTTGACAATTTTCATTTATTATTACTGTTTGTTTAGATTGTTCTACACTGAGCTAAGGCTTGAAATCTCTCTGAAATAGAACTTTCACATTTGTAGTGCTGGAATGTAAAAAATGATTTGAATTGTTCTGGGCTTGTACAAAGCAACAGTAATGGCTGTATTAACAGCAAAATTGCTAGGTAACATTGAGGAGGATTTACTTCTGTCTCAAAGTTGAGAGATCTCTGAACCATTCTGAAGCAGTAATCGCAGTTGTCTGATGGATTTTGATCTTAAAAAAAAAGAATATTAATTGAAAACAGAGGTACTGACGTGGGGTAGTAGTGGTTTTGTTTCTTTTTGGTTTGTTTTGGGTGTACTGCTGCTTCTCTCGCTCTTTTTTTTTTTCTTTTTTTTCTTTTTTTAAAAATAAAATCATTGTTCAGGAAATACCCCTGCTATAGATGTGCTGTTGCGCTGTGGGATTGTTTTGCTACAGTGCAGCATGTCTGTAATTTGCAGAGGATTTGGCAGTTTTTTTTCTAAAGTTATGTGTCTCTCTATTTAGACATGCGCTGGTTTGGTGGTGTACCTCTTATTTCTCTGGGAAAAAAAACAGTGAAGCAACCAGTATATGTAAGTAAGTTTGACTGAAAAACAGGACAATCCTAAACTCACTCTTTCACTTGTGAGAGAGAAATTATCCTTGCCCCAATCATTTCTGGAAGGAGGATGTGTCTGTACATCTGTGTTTTCTAATGGTTATTTTCACAATTTGCAGGTAGTTGATGTTGCAAAGGCAATTATTAATGCAATTAAGGATCCTGATGCCAAAGGAAAAACATATGCCTTGGTTGGGTAGGTTATTTTTCTGATTCTAATTAATTGAAGTACTTCTTTTTGGCATCATTTTTTTGGCATGCACATTTAATTTCTCCCTCCATGTACACAGTCTGAGCTGTAATAAATACACCTCCTTTTTGGGAGGAAAAATGACTGAAGCTGTTATTGTGAGTACACTAATAAGCATTGCTTGGGCCCCATATCACTTAGTGTTCATACAAAGAAATTCATACAAAGAAATAGGTCATCTTGGAAATTTTATTAGACAAACTAGATATGTGAAAGAGAGAGATTCAGTCTGTGGGCAAATAGTTCAAGTTCAGCATGTCTGCAGGATAGCTACCTGTTGGACATGATTTAAAACTTACTTCCTGGACTTCTTAAAAACTGACTTTCATTTTACAGAACTGCAAGATAAAACCCAACATATAGTCAGTACCATGTAAAAGAACTGAAAGAATTAACAAAACTTGTTTATGTTTTGGCAAGGCCAGATCTCCTAATGGAGAAAGCTGTATCTTTGGAGAAAATTCTGCTTAAAATGTCTGGAAAATGACTTGGAGTAAAAACAGATAGAGTCAGTAGGGCCTTTTGAATAGTCTATGTATAAAAATGTCAAGTAGAGTTGACTTTAAGAAAAAAATGGCATAGTAGAAATCGAGTTTTATGTTTCGGTGTTATTGTGTGCCATTGGAGTTGGTTTTTGTCCACTATATGTGGCAAAAGGAGGTTTACATACAATGTAGGAAAGCAGTATTTAGCATCATTTGTAACTTGGCTAACTAAAGGCTGCTTCTTTCTACTGTATGTTTATCGTTGTGTCTTCTCCTCCTTTTACACTAGAAATATGCTTATTGTCTGGAGTTTGCAAAAGGAATGTCAGCAACTTCATTGTTTTTTCTCAACTCATTTTCTGTCACTCTTACAATGGCAGCGCTCTGCTCTTGTTTTAGAGATGATTGCTGGTTGGTTTTTCACTTGCTTTACTACTTTAACTAAACTGTTCAGGATGAGGCTAGGTGTGTTGGTGTAGTGGCTGCAGATTTTCAGCTACTTGTGGTTTGTGCTGAGTTGCTTTTTACTGAAAAATTGGTAAAGTAGAAACCCACAAAAGTCTGAAAGAACTAACAGCCTTGGTAAGGTTGAAGTTGCTTTCAAATTACTGGGATGATCTAAAGTGCAGCCCTATTCAGTAAGTAGAAACCAATACTAGGCAGGCATTCAAGAAGACTTCTTATTTAAGGAATGAGATGATATGGATCAGATTAGCTCATCCAGTGCAGAAATGCACCTGATTTGGAAGACTTTCCAGACAGCACAGATGTGTTAGAATTAACCTTTTTGCATGACTGCTCCATTTTGTGTTTGCAAAACTGAAGAGGAATGAACATTTACTCAAAGTATTTTTACCTGAGAAGGAGAGATGCTTTTGACTTTCTCATTTTGACTGCGCAGAAGCAATTGCTCCAGCTGAAGGAGAAACGGAGGCTTTATTGCTAAGTAGAGCACTGCTTGCAGCCAATTGTAAGGGCAGCTGGTTAAACTTTGAATGTATTCTTACAGTTTAAAAGTCTCCTTTTTTTTTTTGGGGGGGGGGGGGGAGTGCAGTTTGCAGAATTCGAGGAATTCAGTACTTTCTCTGAAAAGTATTATTAAAAAGGAATATTAATACCTTCTTTCTGATGATACTTCTTTAATGTGACTTCATAAATTCAAATCTCACATGTTCTATAAACACTAAGAGCAACGTGGTAAGGAGTGCGAGTTTAGAAATCTTGATTTGTCCTGAATATGTTCACTTAGCTTTGAGAATATGTTGTGCTAATTTAGCTTTTAAAAACTAAAGCAGCAAATGTGATTTGGGGTTTTGTCCCTTTTCTAATACCAACCAAATATTTTAGTTTGTCATTGTACATGTTGTTTGTTTCTTTGTTTGTTTTTCTCTCTCTGAAGTACAAGTTTACTGAAGCCTTAGTGTGGGTCCCTGGAAGCTCAAGCTTTGAAATCACACCTTTTGTTTAACAAAATGAAATTCATGTTACTTGTATTATAGCCTTGAGATTCTGGACTGGTTTGAATAGTTTTCCATCTTTAAACTGTGTATTCCAGTGTGGTTACATTTTTCTGGGATTTGAGATATGACCATAATTCAGTGTTTCATATTTAAAGAAAAAAAAAAAGTCCTATGCTGTGGTGTGACAACACAATTGTCATCTCATTGAGGCCCCTCCTTTACCTAAGAAGGAATAGCAGATCATCGGGAGAAAAACACTTCTGGTGTTATTGCTCTTTTGATTATGAACGGCAGGATGGGATTTTGAAAGCTGAATCGCCAAGTGACATGTCAGAACTCAGCAGCATGTTCTGGGTGTCATCATAAAGATTTTTCTGAATGTTTTGAAATACCAGCAAGTTGCCTTAAAAGACAAGCAAGATTTTTCTGTCAGTCTAAGCTTCTATAAAGTCAGTGCCAAATTGAAGCCTTAACAGGAAAGGAATGGGAGCTTCCAGTGGTATATGTTTATCTACAGTAAGTAGACAGGAAGCTTCGTTGCTTCCTTCCCTCCATTTTTTGGGGGGGGGTGGGGGGTGGGGAGGGGAAAGGAGGAGGAGGAGAAATGCGTTATTTTAGGGGAATTTATCTTTGTTTCTCCCTCTTGGAGGGAATGCCATGTTCTTGGTTAAGTGAATTGATTTTTTTGCTGTCATTTGTTGTCAAGGGATGTTTTATTAACAAACCTTCACTCTTCACTGTTTGTTTTCTATCTTCCTTCTGTTGCAAGCTGCTGAATAGGTTTGTCCAAACTCAGTCCTGCTCCAGTGCTGAAAATCTAGTATTCAGAATTTGAGTCAGTCCTTGCATGGAGGAAGAACTTTAAAACTGTTCTTTAAAAGTATTCAGAACAAATTTCATTGTTGAAGGAATTTTGTAACTGACAAAGTACAATGTTACCATCACTGGTGTCTAATGAAATGTTTTTCTAACTTAATTTCTCTTTGTTGCAAATAGTATAGAATCTTTGGATCTTTAGAACCAGAATCTTCTTCCCTTTTGTGGAAAAAAAAATGACAAATTACTTAGCATAAAGAAGACAGGCGATTTATATGTATATTTAAATATTTACAGCAAGAGACAAAAAAACCCATTGCCACTTCAAAAAAGAAGAAAATAAAGAATAACCTATACTGTTTATTGCTTTTTGATTGGTTTGTTTGTTTGTTTTCCAGACCTAATCGATACCTACTTTATGACTTGGTGGAGTACATCTATGCTGTTGCTTTTCGAACCTTTTTTCCATATCCACTTCCACGTCCTCTTTATCAGTAAGTGGAATTCTCTAAGAATTCATCAAGTAGCGTAAGAGTGTAAATAACTATTGCATTGTCCATTTAATATTATCAATGTTATTTAGTACTATAGTGTTGTTGAAGCTGGCTTTTCCCTAAGTATTTAGGATTTAATTTTGAGTCTTCTGCCCAACAACTCATCTTACTACTAGGAATCAGGGTATTAAATATGCACTTGTAAAAGATTGCTTAACAAAATTATTTATTACAGAATTATTGAATGGCATTGCTTTTGGTGAGTCAAGAAGTAAAAGGCTTGAAGTACAGAGTAATACTAGAAAATTCAGTGAATTTTTAATAATATTACAGAGAAAAATCATTGTGTATACCATTGACTGTAGGCTCTGACAAATTTTATACAGCTGCTTAGTGTATTGCTACTGTCAGCTCTTCCTGTCTGTGGAACACTGCAGTCCTGAAAGCAGATATTTTATAAGGATCTTGACTCTTCTGGTGAAGTCTCTTGATTTGAACCAGTGGTTGGCAGTAATTTTGTACTGAGATGGTGAGTCTGGGAAGTTCAGCAACACAATTGTGAATCCACATTTCTTTGTCCCCTGTGATGTGAGGATAGTACCTTTAGAAGATAGTAATAAATGTAAATTAGAGAAAGGTGCAGTACCATTACAGATGACTAAGGTAGATGTGTTGTGAAGGCTCAGCTTCCACACACTGAGTGTGATCCTCAGTTGTACATCTTGCACACTGGGGGCACTGGAATGGTAAATGACTGATTTCTAAAACATAACTGGTGAGTAATAGTGCCTTAAAATGTGCAGTATAAATCTGAGCCTGGACTTATTTGTTAGGCAGACATCCTTTTGAGGAGCTACCTTGAGCACTAAACACCATTTCAAAAGCTATTCTTTGTGCTGCTGAGATGTGGTAGTGTTTGGATGCTGATCCTGCTTCATTTCAGTACAACATAAGCTACTTAGCTAAAAAGATCAAATGTGTAAGAGCACTCCTACAAATATTTTAGTGGGTCTTCACATTGCATTTATGTAACTGATGATGAATAATACTAGAACAACATCTTAAACTGTTACAACTCTTCCTGAAGAAATTAGCTGGAGACACATCAGTAGCTTAGCTCATGGCTCAAGTGATACAAGCAAGCTTGTTTAAAAGGAAAAACATAGCTGTTTACTATTCTTATTTGTTGACATTCTCTTTAGGCCAGGTCAAGCCAAAGTTTTTCTTAGCAGGTTAACTAGCTCTGTGCAGTAACTTCATTATATGAGCTCCTAGCCTACCACGTGAGCACTTCTGTAAGATATTCTATCTTATATAATGTTGATCTGAGACACCGAGGAAAAAATGTATCTTATTTTTCTGCCAGAATTACTTGGAAAGGAAGTTGCATTTGTGGAAACTGCTAGTACTCTGATCTTCATCCTTTTTGTAGATGCACATTGTTCCGTATTCCATCATTTTATGTATGTTGTATTATGGCTATTAATTTATTTAGTTGTCGGCAAGTATTTTTCCCATGGAAGCAATGAATCAAAGTTTGTGACTAAATGGATTACTGCTTATACTACTAGGAAGCAGAATTTAGAGCAGAGGTGCAGGCAAGATTGAACCTTATAGTATGGGGGGGAATTGAAAATGGAGGTTTACTTTCCCCGCTCACTAAGGCATAGTTATTTCCAAATATCTACTCCTCTATTCCCTTCAGAAGAGGAAGAATTGGGAATTGAAGAATTTGTTTGAAAAGTTAGAGTTTCTAGAAATTCAGTTAAGAATTTGCCTGCTTGCTTGCTAATAGCTTAAATTATTTTTTAGTTCAGAAGAGGAGGGATGAAATCACCCCTTGCTCACTCTGGACAAGTTGAGTCTGAAATTCTTTACTGTGCTCCTGCATAATGACTATACTTCTATAATACTCTTTTTGATTGCAGTTTAATTGCAAGATGCTTTGAGATTAATCCATTTGAACCATGGTTAACACGAGACAAAGTGGATCGGGTAAGTGTAGGACAGCCCCAAAGTTACTCTGGGGAATGTTTTGCTGTGTGCTTGTAATCTCTACTTGTAACTTTGCAATTCAAGGAGTGCAGAAATGCATGCACATGTTGCAGAATTCCAGTCAATTCATTGTCTGAAAAAATTATAGAATTTGATTACAAAAAGTTGCTTTCAGACTGTGAGCCTTTTACCACAACTTACATTTTTCGATATGTTTGTATGTCACCTTCCTCAGAAATAGTTATGTTTTTTGTCTGCCTTCATCTACTTTCCTGCAATGTCACAATTATCTGTCCAGACCTTGCTGCACTGCACTGTCAAAGCAGTCTGCAGATTCCTCTGTGGCAGTCTTGCAAAGAAGAGGAAATACGGATCACAGAACCACAAAATCACAGACTGGTTAAGGTTGGAAGGGACCTCTAGGGTTCATCTAGTCCAACCTTCCTGCTCAAGCAGGCACACTCAGAGCATGTGGCACAGGGTGGCATCCAGGTGGGTTTTGAAGACCTCCAGACAAGGAGACTCTACAACCCCCCTGGGCAGCCTGTTCCACTGCTCTGTCACCCTAACAGTAAAGAAGTTCCTCCTCACCTGGAGACGGAACTTCTTGTGCTCCAGCTTGTGGCCATTACCCCTCGTCCTGTCGCTGGCCACCAGTGAAAACAGCTTGGCCCCTTCCTCCCTGCATTCTCCCTTCCTGAACATAAGTTTAGGACTGAACATTAACATATTAATCATATCCCCTCTGAGCCTTCTCTTTTCCAGAGAAAACAGGCCCAGCTCACTCAGCCTCTCCTCGTATGAGAGATGTTCCATTCCCTTAATCATGTTGTTTGCCCTTCTCTGGAGCCTCTCGAGAAGCTCCACGTCCCTCTTATAGTGGGGAGCCCAGAACTGCACACAGTACTCCAGGATGAACTTTTTATTACCATAATTATTTAGGATTTCAATAGCTTGCAGTCATTATTGCCAGCATGAATAGAGGAGGAGGAGTTAACTTTCTTTAAATATATTTAATAAGTTTGAAACAACTGATGGGAAGGTTATAGAACAAAAAGTAATATAGTATGAGAGAGCTTATCCTTCCAGGTATTAAAACTATTCAAGACTGCTTAGAAAAGCCAAAGAGAGAGATCCAGTGTGCAGCTAATTGATTTTATTATTTCTTTTTAACCTCCCTGGGGGTGGATACTTCTACCTTTAAATAGCTGGTGAGTTTAGGTACCTCTGGCTGCATTCAAGTGAATAGCATTGTGTTTATATTATCCAGAAAATGGAATTTTAACAACTCTTAACTATGCTGGTTACAACCAAAATTCATACTTATCATTAGGCTCTCTAACTAATGCAGCAGTTGCATCTTCATGTTTATTGTTTACTTCTTAAAGTATGTGAATAGTAGAGTATGTGCACAAATAAGCTGCAGAAAACATACTGCAAGTGAAGAAATGGTAGCGTTAGGAAGTGTTAATGTCAAAATCTGGCCTATATGCAGCTTAGCAAAAGTAGACTTGTACGCTTTGACGCTTGTACGCTACACACATGCTGTTCTCTGAAACTTAGAGGTTGAAGTTTTGATATCTTCTGTTACGATGCAGTGTCATTAGCCTATTGTGTTCTGATCATCCCAAATTTAATTAGAGACATGGTAATAATGTGAATCTGTGGGAACTTGATCCTGTTCATAGGACTATTTGTTGAATAGTTATAAGCAATTAGTTTCTATATTTAAATTTCACCTTCTGTCAAATAAACGTCAGTTTCCTATTCTGTTGTAAAACATTTTGAAAAACATGTGCAGTAAGTTTAGCAAAAAATCCTAGGTTTTATTCCTGGTCTAGCACAAAGATTTTTTTTCAAATCACAGACCTTTCCACATGCAAGAGAGAGTTGTCACCATCACTGTATTGACTTTAGACAGACTCAGGCTGTAGATGTAACATCTTCTGAAAAATTTTGACTGCCTTTGTAGCTTATAGAGAAACAAATACTTCACACAAGACCTCCGTACCAGTCTCTAAAACTATTGTAAGTCAGATACAGTATGGCAAGTTACTTCTATGACAGATTTCTCTGTGCCTTTCCCCAGCTTTTCATCTTCAAATAATCTGCACAAAATCAGATGTGATTGATGTAAGACCTTTCTGGGAAAAATATTCTAATAGGGACCCTGGTTTGCTAAGGTACAGGTCATGTATGTTGAAAATATGGTAATATATATATGTATGTATTTTTTTGTAATGGTAGCCTATTCTAAACCTTAAACTGAGTAAACCAACCTGTCAAAATATGAGTTCATTTAGCTTAAGTTTTCATGAAAAAATAGGAAAATTAGGATTTATATGATTGCAGTTCAAATATGCCTTTGTAAGTTTGACCTGCATTTCATGTTAATGTTTAGATAAAACAGTTAGGTACTGTTTAGATACTGTTAGAACAGTTTAGATACTGTTTGGAGGTGCAGAACATCTGTACAGTTTTCAAGTAGATTAGGTGTTTAATTAATATCTCTGAAAATCTGCTTATAGTTCTGCAGAGACAGACAGAATAGTTCCTTCTTCCTAAGAAGCAAAACAAACAAACAAAAAAAAAACCCACCAAATAATGGTCAATGATTTTACCATTGGCTAGCTGAGCCCACATTTGTGATTGTGAATCATTTTGAGTACAAGATGTTGCAGTGTGGTGTACTCTAGGATTTTTTTGGGGGGGGGGAGGACGGGGACACGACATTTAACCTCAGCTGCCTTTTTCAAAATAGGTGTTTTAAATCAAAATCTAGATAATTGTAGTTGAATCTCCCAGAATCTGTCACTTGAAAATTTTCACATATATTTAAATTTTTCTAGTGCTTGTGATTTCTATAAAAGAAAAAAGTGATCCCAGGTATAAGTGCATGGTGTTTTGTAGTATGTTCATAACTGCATTGACTGTAACATTTTTCATTCTATCAAGTGACTTCCCCCTCCCCTCCTCTCTCTCTCTCTTTTTTTTTTTTTTTTTTTTTTTCCTCCATACAACAAGTTTCATACAACTGACATGACATTTCCTGATCTTCCTGGTCTGGAGGACCTGGGTATTCAACCAACGCCTCTAGAACAAAAAGCAATTGAAGTTCTGCGCCGTCACCGTAGGTTCCGCTGGTTGGAGGCTGAGCTGGAGGAAGCAAAGCCAGCAAAGACTTATCCCATGTAACAGTTGCCAAGGTTACTCATGCTTCCTAAATTGCTTCCCTGTAACCTAGTTTGAAGAACTGTGTACACACTGAGTAAAATCTGTTAATCACATGAACTGTATTTCACTAGTGTTCCTGTCTCATTTTTAATTATGGGTGAATCTCAGTGATATTTAGTAGTTCTCTTTAATAGGTCATGAGGAAATATGTCATTTACTCCACTTTTAAATTTGAGAATTTCATTATTTTGAGATGCTCCAAACTTTTATGTGTAGAGCTGTTGCTTTGATTTTTGGCAGGAGAGATGAGTTGTGTTTCAAAATTAAATAATGATGATTATTTAAAGACCCAAAGAAGGAACCTTACCTTTTACCACATAGAAAGTACAACAAAGTGCTGCTGCCACATAGTACTTTGCTTTCTATTTGGTTAAGTTTTGGTTAGATTTTGACAGGGGCACTGTAAGGCATGATGTAGTTAAGGCAGAGTAAGATTTGTGCACTGGGCTGAGGAGAGATCTAGATCTTCTGTTTTCAGTACAATGCTCTGATGACTCCAAGAAAAGAGAAAGGAAGAGAAGGAAGATATTCTGTGAATCAAGGGAGCTTTTAGTTTTGGAAGAAGGCCAAGTTGCATTAATTAGAATGAGCTGAGTTTGGTGAGAAACCTGGTTTTAATTGGTCCTGGGAGAGAGGATACAGTGAGTGACAGAACATCTTGTTTTCCTTGTCAAGTTTCCTACTATTTGCCTTTGTTGGCTGTGACAACAGGAGAGGAGGGAATGGGACAAAGCGGGCAAATGATAAGCATGTCAAAGAGAGAATCCTAGTGGGATTGCAGAAACATGACATGGAGGTTGGGACTAAGAAGATGATTAATATGGAGCATAGGAGAAAAAAAGCTCAATCTTGAGTTGATCAAAAAGTCCAAGGAGAGTAGGAGAAGAAGCACAAGTCTTTCCATTACATCAAAGTCATCGCTGAAACAAAGGATCAAAATCTGCTTCTCTGCTGTCACCAAGCTACTGTAAAAACCCCAGCCAAACAATTTATTTAATTTGAATGGTGCCTCCTGTTGCTCATCTTGATATGCGACCTACTTCTGGTAATGTTTCTACTGTTGGGAGGTGTTGGGTGCATGTAATTGTATAGATTTTTCCGATCCTGCCTTTTCATGTTGGCTTTTATGGATTGTTTGTTTATTTCTGTGAAGTTCGCTCATTCGAAGTTTACCAAGTCACACATTCAAAGCTATCAAAAATTAGAAGTGAAGTGCATATTGTTAATTTGATCCCTAACTGTTAACAATTTTTCTTTTACTTGCTTGTATATTTTTTCCCAAGGAACCATAACTTTAATATGCTAACAAATCATAACAAATACCTGGTTTGATCTAATTTATGTGGCATACAGGTGATTTACTGCATGCTATTCAAATCCTATGGTTTAATGCTGTAGTACTACAGTGTAATACTTAGTGTAGTAAACTGCAGTACATTTTGTATTGTCTCCCATGGACTGCAGAGATGAACAATTACCATTCTGTTCATACATGAACAATGGTCTGTTTCCATTTACAGATGGCAAAAAGGCTGAAAAAATGGCAAAGGCAAAATACTCCTAGTGTAAGTCAGTTTGAAAAGACTTACTTATAATAATCTAGTGTCTTTTTTTTTCTCTCTTTAAAGTGGTACTTTTTCTGTAAACTTCATTTGTAATGATATAAAGTATGTGGTTTAAGCAAATTACTGCAGATGGAAATACTTTATTTCCACAGTAGTGTTCAGCTGATGTTGCTGGAAGTCATCAGTTTTCACAGAATCACAGAATGGTTCACACTGGAAAGAATCTTTAGAGCTCATCTATTCCAACTCCCCTACTCAAGCAGGATCACCTAGAACATGTTGCACGGAAATGCATCCACATGGGTCTTAAAGATCTCCAAAGAAGGAAGCTCCACTACCTTTCTGGGCAATCTGTTCCAGTGTTCTGTCACCCTGACAGGGTTCTTACTCCTATGCAGATGAAGCTTCTTGAGTTTTAATTTGTACCCATTAACCCTTGTCCTATCACTGGCTACCACCAAGAAGAATTTGGACCCATCTTTTTTACATCCTCCCTGCATGTATTTGTATGTGTTGGGCTAAACAGCCCCAACTCCCTTCGTCTTTCCTCATATGATAGATGCTCCAGTCCCTTAACCATCATTGTTGCTCTGTGCTGGACCCTCTCTAGAAGCTCCACATCCCTCTTATAGTGGGGAGCCCAGAACTGCACACCATACTCCAGATACGGCCTCCCCAGAACTGAGTAGAGGGGGAGAATCCCCTCCCTTGACCCGCTGGCACCACTCCTCCTGGTGCAGGCCAGGATCCTATGGCTCTTCCTGGCCCTGAGGGCACACTACTGATTCATGGTTAACTTGGTGTCAACCAGGACTCCCAAATCCCTCTCTGTGCAGCTGCTTTCCAGCAGGTCAACCCATGATCTGTCCTGGTGCCTGGAGTTATTCCTCCCCAGGTGCAGGAACCCTGCATGTGTCGTTGTTGAACTTCATGAGATTCCTTTCTGCCCACCTCTGCAACCTACTGCCTGAATGGCAGCACAGCCCTCTGAAGTGTTGGACACTCTTCCCGGCTTTGTATCTACAAACTTGCTGAAGGTGCATTCTGTCCCTACATTCAAATCACTGATGATGCAGTTTAATAGGATGACCTAGTACACCTGCAGACACCATGAGTCATGGACCTCCAATACCTCCTTTATCATAAGCATCTGAGTGCTTCTATCCAGACAGTTCTTGATCTACCCCCTCATCTAAACTTGTCTTCCTGAGCTTCTCCATGAGAATGCTATGGGAGACAGTGTTGAAAGCTTTGTTGAAGTCAAAGTAGGCAACTTCCACTGCTCTTTCCTTATCAACTCAGTGATCCCATCGTAGAAGGCTATCAGGTTGATTAAATTTTCCCCAATCCTTTCTTGCAGAAATTGCAGCAGTATTTATCATTATATACTACTCAAAACATTTTCTCTAGGGCATAGAGATCTTGAATGTAAATGTCACTTACGTTTTTTAATACACACAACACAACATCCAAGGTAACAAATTAAACCAGTGTATAGTCTTAACTGTGACATTTCCAGACTTTGGGGCTCTCATATTGCAGCCTCAATGTTGAATTTTAATAAATGCATTTAATTTTTATTTGTGGATGAGGCATCCTATTGGAATGACTTCCCCCCATCATATATATTTAATACAAATGCATACAAAAATTCCCATGATGAAAGCAGCAGGCATAATATGGGTTCATTTAGCGTTCAATTTTATTTCTGAAAAAAAGTAAAAAGAATAACACCAGCTTAAATGTTCATTTTATTTAGTGACATGTAATTCTACCTTTGTAGTAGAATTACAGGATACGTTAAACAAATCTCTCTCTTAGACAGAAGTCTTTCTAGCTGAGTATCTTATAGCTGACAAAAAAAATAATAGCAGATTCCTGGAGAAACAGAGCATAACAGAGTGATGCTTTTTGGGGTACTGTCTCCCAGCTTCCAGCAGTTTGTACTTGAAAGTCTTCCTGAACTGAGCATGTAACAGTTCCTCTGACACTGAGACTGACACTGATCCTCCATTTTTTTTTTGCCTTATTTCTTTCCAAATCTTCACTAATTATTTCTAAATCTTAAGTAAACTTGCATCCTTCTTTAAAATGTTGTGGCTCTGCAAATTGAGGACATGCTGCATGAATAGATATTTTCTCATTTAAAATGTTTGATTTGATTGACTACATTTTGATGATTCCTTTCTCTTCAGTTTTCAAGCCTGAGGAAATAAGGGTTCCATATTTGCTTTCCCTTGTCAATCCATAAACTACTTCTGTTCTCTTTTTTTATTTTATCCTCTAAGTCCTATACATTCTGCTGGTTTTACATGACAGCTGTTGTATTTTTTTCCCCTTTATTTTATTTTTTTATCTATTTTGTTGTGTCCTCTGTCAGATGGAGGAGAAGACATAACTGCATTCAAGAGTTATACTTACTGTGAATTTATAGGGTAATGTTAATATAGAGTAATTGTGGATTTATATAGTGATGTTTTACTGCTATGTTTTGTATTCCGTTTTCTAATACTTTCTAAAATTTCATAAGTTTTTGCTAAAGTTTTTGTTTCTTTCATTGGACGACTATTGAGCACCCAACTAATGCTTTCATAGCACTGTTTATAATATTGCAGAGATCACTCTTTTAAAATAGTATCTCATTTAGAACCTATCAGAATAAAGTACTACACACAGAAAAAAGCATTAGATTTCATCTGTAGTTTTATTACTACTCATTTATCAGTGAGAAGATCTTTCTTCTTATCCTTTCTACTGCTTTCTTAGCTTGCAGTTATTTTCTTGCCAAAGTGCAAAGTACTGGAGGTTCTTTAAGTAGTTGAAATTTAGAGGCACAGATTTTGTTGCTTTTGGAAGGGATGTTGTTCAAGAGTACTGGTAGGAAAAGAGGAGATGTTATTTTCCGCCCTGCCCACAAGAGGTCACTGCTGGAGCAGAAAGTGGAAGGGGTTTTCAGGATTTCTGGGCAAGTTGTTTTTTTTGTTTGTTTGTTTGTTTTTGAGCATGCACACGAATAGAAGGCTGCCTAGAAGGGGTTTTCAGGTCAATCCATAAAATGTGCATGGCTAAATTTAGATACAGTGTCATAAAAATAATACATGGGACTTACACCAAGCACAGGAAGGGACATGCTTTAGGCATTTCCCATTACCTAATGTGGGTTTGTATATACTGTTTATAGTGGAACACTTAGAGAGTCCTCTGGAAAACACAGCAGCTTACTATAGTCATCAGGGTTATCTAAACATCTTTAGGCTGCTCTAGAGGGTCTTGTGGGAAAGTAGACTCTTGGCAGCAGCTCTCTGTAGACTAGTTGGATTGTGTTTGCATGGTTCTGTGTGTGTATGTCTGTATCCATGTATATCTTTAAATATATGTAATATGTGTATATGATAGTGTGTATATACATGGCTAAAGAGGTGTTGAAAAGCAATCATGGCGGCAGTTAGTTTATTTGTATGTGTCTAAGTAGTATAACACATAGTATTAAATACCTAAAGTATTTTTAAAAATTATTGGACTGTATTGTGTACTCTTAATCCAAATATACCTTTAGTTACTGTGTGCATTTTCCTCTCTCACCACTTTCGCTCTCTGTTGTACTAAGCCAGCAATTCTGTACTTGGAGTCACCACTTTTGAAGCTGATTACTCATTTCTCTAGCCTCTTTTGGTGTGGCTATTCAGATTGTCTGTGTTTCTCTTTCCTTGTTAACCTGCACAGGCACATTGTGCGCGCTAGTTCCTCTTTTCTCAGTTCCTTCAAGTTTCCTGTTTTAAGACTCTAAAACATGCAGAAAAATTTCAACATAATATTTCGACCAATGGCAAATTGGCAATTGGCAAAATTGGCTGTTACAGAATGAAGAAGGTGGGCCAAACTTCACTGGCCTGGGCCTTTGTATAAATTTGTTTTCAGTGAGCACCTGAAATGTTCTCTACCTTAAGTAAAATAGTTTCCTTTGGATTTGTCCCCAATGTTTGGCTGGTCAACTGTCCAAAGAGAAACAAAACCTTTAGTGTGTCCATGTTGTGGCATTTATGATATCTCTCTTTCATTGAATTAACCAATGTTTAAATTATGCTTTTTTTTTTTTTTAGTTTATGCTGTAACCTTTCTACTAGTATGATAATATGGCTGATAGTATGTTCTCTGTAAAACTGTTTGCTCTCTTTTGCCAATATGATCATTATGAGGAATTATGAGAAGGGCAGGAATCTCATAGGAATTAAGAGAAGGGCAGATAGATAGGAATGTGCATCATGGCTTTATGCTATAGACTTGATCTCCTTAGGAGGTGCACCTCAAACAAAGATTGCTGTTGCTTAAAATAATACTGTGAGTGGCTACTATGTGTTTGGTGAAGCTCCCTAGGCTGAGGCCATGTTTGTCAAAGCTCCAGGTTTAGCCTGGAAAGTGCTAAACAGAGTAGTGGCTTGGTGTAGTGAGAGAACTGAGTTCAAATGGAGTTTGCTTATCTCTAGTTTGCCAGCATGAGGCTTGTCTGTTTCACATGTGTATGCATTCATATTTATCATTGTGCCGTGGCTATGCTTAAATGCCTCTTATTTTAATGGTAGCTGAACAGAATTTTCAAGCTTGCATTTTTCCTAAAGTGGAATTTGGGAAGGAAAAAGAGATCTTCTTATCCTGTTTGTGATTAAGTCCCAGTTCAGCTAAAGCCTTGCAGTAGGACTTGCTAGAATAAGAACACTCCCAGAACACTCCTGTGGAGGACCGACCCCAAAGAAGGGACACTTTCAAAGAGACACTTTCATAACTCATGGAAGAGCCATGCTAGAGCAGGGATACTGCCAAAGGACTATGACCCACAGCTGAGCAGGGACCTTTCTAAAGGGAGTCTGGCCTCTAGCATAGATTCTCCTGAAGGGACTGCACCCTGTAGAGGACCTATGCTGTGATAACAATTCTGAGGAGCTTGAAAAGACTGATATTTTTATATGAAGGAAAAGACTGTATACTTGTCATTGTTGTAAGCATTACATTATGTTTACGTGTGTACTGGGCATGAATGTCAGGACTTCAGTAGCAGGCAGCTACAGAGGTGCCCTGTGTGGGAGGAGGTTGTGAAATGTCCTTATTCCAACTGTCTCCAGCTGGTCCAGCAAATGGAAATAGCCCATGGTACTTCAAGGATCAGAGGAGCATGTACTACTGCTATTCAGACTTATTAAGAAAAAGCAGTAGCCGCTATGGCAGGAGATATATGAAGTGGTATTTGGAGGAGATGCTCTTGGGAGACGTACAGAAAGAACTTTTGAGGAGATATGTAGCTGGAGATGTACTCTTGGAACAAGGTGCTTCATGCCAAAGAGGTATCTCTCTGAAGGGATTATAGCCCATGGAGGACCCATCCTGGAACAGGTACGTCCCTGAAGGGACTCAGCTTTGTGGAGAGCTCATTCTAGAGCAGCAACACTGAGAAGTGTGGAGGAGCAGAGAAAATCCCGTGAGAAAAGCTCAGAGCAGCAGAAAAAAACTGTTACATGCCCAACCTTAAACTCCTGTGCTGCTTGTTGTCCCACCAAAGTAACTGGAAATGGCTGAGTGTAACCTGTGATAGCAACAAGGGAAGCTGAAACTAGATGGGAGTGGAGGTGTTTAGCTTAGGCTAAGCTTGGAAAGGAGGAGGAAGGATGTTTCCTTAAGTGCTTGTATATGTTTTTCTTTGTTTGTTTGTTTTCAATGCCTGAGTTAGTGACAAGAAGTTTGTGTTAGCTGGCAATAAATACAGTTCTCTTGAGTTAATACTACTTTACCCATGCTCATGTGTTAAAGGAGTTAAAATGCTTGAGGTAACATTACAATGCTGGGCAGTTTCTCCACATGTTTTCAGAATTCTAGGGCTCACAATTGGGCACAATCCTTCTGGTGCAACCTCACCAGTGCCGAGCAAAGGGTACTGTAACTTTCCTTTAATCCTCCGGATTTGCTGTATTTGTGGTAGGAGTGTATTGTTGGCTTGTATTCAACCTGGCATTTGCTGTAAGCCCCGATTACTTCCAGCATGACTGCTATTCACCAGTCATTTTCCAGGCTATATTAAAGTATGTAGTTATTCTATCCCATGTATGGAACTGAAACTCTTATGAAACTTCTGAGGTTTTTATTGCACTAGTCTTCCTACATTTCCTCTGGATTCAACCACTGTCATTTCATGTCATCTGTAGATTGCTGAGTGTATTGTTGACATTACTGATGAATGTACTGAAGGATACAAACCTCAGTATTAACCTCTTGTGCACTCTACTTGTTGATGTGACAGGGGAGGATAAATAATGTTACTCCTGGCTTGTTAACCTTACTGTAGCATAAGATCTAGCAGCAAATTCAGTAGGTCGTGCATGTAGCTGCATTGTATATTTTACCTTCTTTTCACCCTTTACATGTCACCAGCGAAATGTAAATATAACTTGTGCCTGTTTCTCACAAATATGATGAGAAGACCATTTGATGAACAATGATGATAAGCTATAAGCAGTGAATTTTTATAGCAACACTAGCTTTATAGTCACAAGTGAAAATAAAGAAACAGACTTTGAAGCCTTTCTGAATAGTTGGACTTGCATCCCCCACTTATATTTTAACCATAGCCATAAAAAGTCAAAGGTGACTACATTTCAAAAGCTAGTAGTTAAAACTTAACAGGAAACTGCCAGATATGATTTAAAAGTGAGCACAGAAGGCAAATAATGAAATATTCTGCCTTCTACAATTTCAAGTTCCATTATTACAATGATGTTATATATATCCTGAATACTTTTTTGTAAGCAGTTGCTTATAAGCAGTTCCTTTTAACACAAGTGTGCTATTTCCAAAATTGCCTAAGTGATAAAGGATCAAAGTCCAGTGGGAGCTTAGCCTTTGTAGGTATTTTTGGAATGAGCAGGGTGAAAATATTGTCTTTGAAAAATTGAAAAATATGGATGGTGAGGCACAAAGTATTCTTACATCATGGGAATTGAATAATGTTGTGCAGATAGGTAAATAGTGTGCTACTGAGTGATAGCAACCCGTCCTGCAATTTACTTGAAAATCATGTAAAACCTAGTTCAATGGGAGTACAGTTATAAATTATTATTTCTCTTGTTTCATTCAGACAAGGACAATGAAATAATCCAACCAATAGGATATATTAACATATATCTTAATATTCAGTTAGACATAATTCACCATGATAAATCTTAGCATTATGCAGTATGAATATGAAGCTCAATACAACTTCATTGATCAGGAGATGGATATAAAAGCATTTATTTGCATTTTTTAAAGATGAGTTCAGGGAATTATTTTCTTTTATGAGAAGAACAGAGCAAGTCAGAGATAATGCACTGACCTAGTTGTTCTGATGATAATTGCGTTGATTTTCTGGCATGCTCCCAACATGTCAAAAATTTCAACTGGAGATTTTAAACCCCACCCAGTGGTGCACGTGGTAAACTTGCAGGTTTTTAAAATCAAATATTACCCTTCGCAGACAATAGTGATCACAAAACATAAAAGTGGCATACATTTTATTCCAATCTTCTCTGGGTGTAGGTGTGCTTTACTGCGTCAGAGGCTTTCTGATATCTCCTTATCCAATGGTCTTGTACTTCCTACAGAATAACTCCAGGTAAGTAATCAGATCATTTGACTCATTGCAAGCTGTGAGAACTGCCTGCTTTCTCTATCAATGTGTAACTTTTACAAATTTCTCTCGCTGTATATATATCTATAAATGATAGAGAAAATATGTCTACATTGCACCTTATTTTTGTCAACTATATGACCTGCTAGACTCAGTTAATTGCTTCATCTGAGCAGTCTTTGCATCTGCTTGACTCTGAGCTGTTTGAAAGAGCAAATTTGGAAAGAGAAAGCAGAGTGGAAAACTGAAACAAATACAAATTCCAATCAGCAGAAGTCTCGGTTTCTTTGCACTTAAAATGGCACCATGGAGGAGAGTGGATAAAGTCATACTACTAATAATGAATGTAAGCTTTGTGTTTTATATTATGCACTCACTACAAGATCTAAGAAAGGGAAGAAGTGACTCCTCGGTAGATAATCCTCGGTCTCATAACCAAGAAAATACTATCTTTGAGAGACTTGACCATTTGGACTGGCGCATTTACAACCTCTGTAAGTAAATACAGTGCTGCTTAACTTTGTGAGAATTAGATATCTAGTTTTCCTGAAGGATAGAATGATAGGCAGTAGAGCTAATGCTTATTTGGATTTCTCTGGACATTCTTTACTTTTTCTTGCAAGCTTTAAAACAACTTGATGTCGTAAATGAATGTCTTCATTTGAATATAACATACTGAAATCTTTCGTAGCCGTCACTGTTCTTTCTGGGTATTAGATAGATATCCCTGAACCGTTCTACTGATTTTAAGATCATCTTATCAGCAAAATAATTTTAAATTGTTAATAGTCCTTGAAATGGAGGGAATCCCTAGGAATCCTCTTATCGCATTTCTTCAGCCTCTGCTTTTTGGGTGAGCAAAAAGGGTTGTGACCAGCCTTGCCTTAGTCCTTGCTTGTGTACTATAGACATGATGGAGTGGCTCTGAGGGAAAGGATTGCTGAACTTAGTGTCACCTACTTAACTGGACCATGTTCTGAAGCAGCATTTGTTGAGATATACCAGGGGTGTAAGCTGGACATCCAAGCAGATGAGCTTGTGTATAACAAATATTAATTTAGGAGGAAGGAAAGAAGGAAAGGAAGGAAATTTAGCCATTGCTTTCTCACAGTGCTGGTTACAAAGTTTGAAGAATTTTGCTTCAGCTATTTGTTGTAGCTTTGACTGTTGGTAACTGTACAGACTTTTTCATGTTGAGTTTGTTTAACAGTTTTTCTTAACCTGATCTTTCTCAACCAAGGATAAACTTTCATTGCTCCAGACTTCCCTCTGGTTTCAGGGGCCTGGATTTCTTGAGGACTGGGCTTACCTGTAAAGACTGAGGCAAAGAAAACATTGAGTACCTTTGCCTTTTTTGTGTCCTTTGCCACCAGGGCCCTTGACCAATTTAGTAGTGGGCACACATTTTTCTTTCCTAGTCTTCTCTTTACTGCTTATGCACTTGTAGAAGCCTTTCTTGTCCTTAACATCCTTTGCCAGTATTGACTGGCAAGGTAGGCAGCATTTTTCATAACTGTAGGTGGGCTTTAGGTGTCCCAACCCCATTCCTGCTTGCTTGGATGTCTCTATATTCCTCCTGGCTCTTGTCTCTGCTTACGCTTTCTGTATACTTCCTGCTAGTTTTGCCAGGAGCTTCTTTTTCCGTGCAGGTCTCTTAAATACTTTGCTTGAGTTCTTGCTCATTAGGATGGGCAGATCTTGAGTTGCAGGAAATGATCCTTGAATATGAACCAGTTGTCTTAGATTCCTCTTCCTTCCATATCCCATTGGATTCTTCCTATTAGGTCCCTGAAGAGTCTGCTCTTCTGAAGTCTAGTTTGTGATTCTGCTCTTTATGATGTGTCAATAAAGGGATATCTGTGATTATTTTGGATTCTGGGGATTAGTTGAAAGAAATCATAATTTGTGAAGTGTGAAAATTTATTAGAGATGAGAGATTATAACAAAGCTGAAAGTAGCTAAAACATAACTAAAATCTAAAGCTAGAAATATAACAGAACTGGATATATATATGCATGTCAGAGCAGTCAAATCAAGGAGTGCATGATAAAATAAATACCTCAACCTTTCCTTGAGGGACACACTCTAGTATAGTTTTCCCTGAACTGTTTGGCAGCAGGTGCACTTTCATTCTTTATGTGCCACCTTTCCAGTATAATATTCTGGTATATTATTCACCAGGCTGTTAACACCAGGAGTGTCCCTGGAGAGTGTTCCTGTTCATGGGTGGATGCTTGGATCTGCAGGTCAGCTGATTTTGGGTCCAAGTCCACCACAAACATATGTGACTTTTATAGCCAGCCCACAGTTATCTAACAACTGTATGGTTCTAATCAATAACAACGTGCTTATCAACAAGTAGCCTAGTTTCAAGCCCACAGCACTTCTCATTAATAACAATATGCCTATTAACATTAACAATAATGTGTTATTAACATTAACAGTAATGAGAAATGACTCCACAGCACCCAGATGTTTATGGTGTGGATCTGCAGTGCCACATCCCCATTGTCTGAACTTGTCAAACATGAGGTTGTTGAGGGTGTCTAGGCAACCACAGTCCCACGTTGTGATGCCTGTGGCAGTAGTGCACTTCGCGTTTCTTAACTTTTGGAGAGCACCCTGGAAGAAACATCTTCCCTATGGGCTACACCATCTGGAGTGCCACGCTTGCCTGTTTCACAGCTGTCAGTCTTTGCCCTGCTTCCTTCCTCATAGAATTCTTATTGTTGCTGCAGTCAAGGCTGCCCTTTACTTTCACCTCTCTGACCACTTCATCCTTGGCTTGAAGTATGAAATCTAGCAGAGGTACTTCTCACTAGGTCTTGAATTGCCAGTGCTCGAAGTTGTCATTGATGCATTCCAGAAACCTTTTGGATTGGTCTGTTCCCCTCCAGCTGATATCAAAGTGTCTCAATTCCCTTATGAGGACCAGGCTTGCAAACATGAAGCTTCTTGAAGTTCTCTGAAAAGGTTTCAGCCACTATTTCTTTCTCTTTAGGTGTTCTACAGCAGGCAGCCACTACAATGATGGTCAGCTGGCTGATCCTGACCCATGAATCTTCAGCTGATCCCTCCCCTGTCCCCACTACATTGCAGTTGATCTCTCACAAAGAGGGAAATTACTTTTCCTCTCACCTTCTTGGCATGTCCTTCCTAAAAAGCTTGCCTCCATCTGTTGCAGCTATTCAGTTATGCAAGCAATTCCACTACTTTTCTCTGATCTGAATAATACTGTAGCCCTGTAAGCACACACAGCCTTCTAATTCCTCCTGTATGCTTCTCGTGCTGCATGCACTCATGCATGTAATGATTTCCTGAAAAGGACACAAGGGCTTTCTCTATATTATGGTTCCATACTCACTTCCTTATTTACATGCATTAGATGATTCTGTAGCAACAGTTACAGGCACTTGCCTTTATGGAAAAAGTCTTGTATTTTGAATGCCGGAGAACAGATGCTTTCATTTGGCTGCTTTGAATGTGAAGCTCCAAAACCAAGAGAGGAAGATTTCAGAATAGGTACAGCAGTTCCAGTTGGACAGTTCTCATATGGCTAGATAGCATATGTATTTGCTGATATATGCATTTGATGAATTGCTTCTGTCCCATGAGCCTGAGTACATAACATGCTTTCCATGTAGAGCATGTAAGTATTCAAGTGTTTTAGTGAATTTGTCTGGAGGACACATGTTTTTTCGTTAGACTGACTTTGGTGTACCAGGGCAATAATGTGTAGCTGTGCCCTGTGGTGCTTTCTTAATATGCTAGACTTGTGGCTTTTACAGGAGAGCAGTGAAAGACTTACCAGTTTAGGGAAATCATCAAGATAAAACATCCAAGTTCAACTATCCAAGAACGTTTGCTTAAATCCACACAGACTGTGGCACTGGCTGGACAAAATGTGCAGCACATGGCTGCACAAAATAATTCATAAGGCAAATTTTAGGTGAGTTAAGACTATACACACAGGGAATATAGGAGTATACATACCTTTTCCCTTTAAATGCCCTATCTTAATTTTGTAGGATGTTAGACCTGAAATTTCTCTATAGACTAAGAATCTAGAAGCAAAAAAAGTCCTTCTGTGCTTATTCCCTCAAATACATATGTTTTTATGTTTTGCTTCTCAAATGGAAGAAGTACTAGAGGACGAGATAGCAAGTCTTTGCTTCTAACAGACTCTAGACCATAATTAAGGACAATTGTCAGGGTATTTTAATATGACTTTAAACTTATGTGCATGTATCATTAATTGCTGTACAGAAGTGATTGTATGATACATTTTGCTTGTTTGTGGGCTTTTACTTGTGCTTCCAGTGGGGATATAATGACTTTAACTTAATTTGTGCTTGGGTAGATGGTTATTCTTTTATTAACAGGATACTAATTTGTTGGAATTGACTGTGTTAACAGAGTAAGAAATGCATATGAAGAATGGCTTTCTTTTTTTCCTTGACGAAGATGGACAAAACTGCTTTGCAGTTTTTTGGTATCTGAAAGTATTCCTGAATATCCTTCCATCAGCAAAAAGTATTCTGAGCCTGAAATAGAACATGATTTTATTATCTGGCCATTATTGTATTTGTTTTGGGTTAAATTATATCGGATATTCCTCCCAAGTTAATCCACGATGTCTTAGAAGAAAGAAGTATTATCAGTGCCTTATGATATATTAATAACTTATATGCCTGACAAAACTCTGAGATGAGGTTCCAAAGTTCCCAAGAAGCTGATCAAAAGAGAGGGCAAAAGGCTTGCTTGTGGTATTTACCTTCAAGATCAATATGGCGTAAACATTCTAATGTAGACAGCAAACCCCACTGTGGATCCTTGATGGATTGATGTCAGCCAAACATCATGTATATGGTTTGGATCAGATTTAATTAGTGTACTGCCTCTATTCACAGATTTCTCCACTGATATCATTGCAGTGTCACTTCCTCTGTGCTAGTGTAATTGAGAATATAACCTGGTCAATGCTATTGTGGACGGTGGCATTTAAAGGGGAGAGTCTGATGCTATTGCCATGCCAATTTCAGTTTAGCTGTAATTTCACACACCTCTTCACCTGCATCATTTTGAGGATAATTTGGCTCATTGATGATGGATAATGTTCTCAATTTAATTGATACATTTTCATTTTCACTTAGCAAAATCAATGGAACAGTTTCATGAAAATATCAAACAATTAAAATATGATCAGAAACTACAAGATGATTCCAAGAGTAAAGTACAACAGGCTGGAAATGCAAAGGAAGAAAAGAAGAGTGTACATCGCTTGCTGTACCCGGACTCTTTCCTCTTCAAGCGCTGGGGTACAGATTTAAGAGAAGAGGAGCAAACTGTTGCACAGAATCTGTTCTTAAAATATGGGTATAATGTTTATCTCAGCGATCGCCTACCTCTGGACCGAATTATTAAAGACACCAGATCTCCTAGGTACAGTATAAGCCCTCTTGACATTTGCAAGGCAGCATAAAATTAAAGGGAAGGGGTCTGCATTGCCTTGGAATAAATATAATAATAACTTTATAATAATCTACAAGTAGATTTAAATTTATGCTGTATCTGTTTAGAATATTTTCTACAATTTTCCAAGTATTTACTGACTTTTAGGTAATACTCCAAAGTGTGAAAAGAAGTGACAGAGCAGGGAAGTTATTTAGGAAAAAAAAAAAAAGAAAAAGAAAAGAGAGCATAATGTTGTCATTATAACTGAAATAGCATTTCTAAAGCTATCAAAAAAGGGTAAAAACTAATCAAAAAATCAGAAGAAATGAAACCTTCTGGTCTGTTTAAGCCCAGAAAGGAAGACATCTGATACATGTTTTGCTCTAGATGCTTATATTTATTTTTAAGTCTCCTGTATGCTGCAATATCCAGGTAATACAGGTAATATTCACATTTTAAACTTCTTGCTTGGGATCTTTATTCCCTTCCCCTTTCCCTCCTTTCAGTATAGTCACTGAAGAGCAGACTTCCATGTTGCTTCTAGGGTGGACAGTGTTACACTGCCCTCAGCCATGAGTGTCCTTTGGGCTGGACCAAGCACTAATTCCACCAAGGGCTGTTCTTGTGTGCTTCTGAGTTCCAACTGTCTGAAGTGGAATGGGAGTTATGTCCTGGCTTCTGAGGTGAATTCTGGGGGATTTTTGTGCATCATGCCTTAGGGTGCTCAGGAGTATGATCTGCTTCTGCTTACTGTGATGTTTGACCACTCTAATCTTCTTTTGTAGAAACCAGAAACCAAATTCAGTCAAATGTCCACTACTTTTTGTAAGCTAATCTCCCTTGTCAGGTTGCTCATATTCTTTGATTAGAACATTGTAAGACACTTTAGAAGTGATAAACAGTAATTGTTGTTTTTATCTTTACAGAAATTAACTTTATCCCAACTTTTTGCATTCTCAACATAACGTTGTTTAAATGAATGGTGAAACTAGGCTTTGGTAGATTCCTCTCTTCTGTCTTTTACTAAACTCTCATTATGTACTTTCAACCTAAAGTACCAATTCTGCCTTCTTGCAGCTGCCTTGTTCTCTGATTTTCTTTGGAAACTGTACTAATTTGTTCTCTATTACAGCTGTCAAAGGAAAACATATCCTCAAGCTCTCCCAACACTCAGTGTTGTACTTATATTTATGAATGAGGCACTGTCAATCATCTTACGTGCAATTACTAGTATAATTAATCGAACACCTTCTCATTTATTGAAAGAAATCATTCTGGTAGATGATTACAGTTCAAATGGTAAGTGATCTGGGGACATCTTTCTTATTTACGCTACTGTTGTGCTAAAAGAATATATCTGGCATTTTGGAGGCACACAGCGTAGGTCTCAAAATTCAGAATATATTAGAAAAAATACACCCTCTTAGCTTGAAAAATGACAATTATTAGGGAATGTGGTAATGGTCTGGAACTATTAGAAAATATAAAGACTGAAGTTGGAAATCACGATTATGTGCTTGTCAGATAAGGTATAAAAAATGAGAATATACTTAAAAAAAAAACAAAACAAAACCATATTTTGCAAGCATCTGAAATCCTTGAAAAGTCGTGTGTAGGGTTATGTAAAACACTCCTGAGGAAAGTAGTGGAAGCCCTATTGTTCCTAGAAATGGATTAAGTAAAAGACTTGGAAATTGTTTATGAGAAATAGTCATGCCCCTGTTTGCAAGAGTGCTCTAATGGATAACATATACCTGTTGAAATTACCCTAGGTGTAATGTCTCATATTGTAAGATCTGAAATTTGTCCTATGATCTTTCATTTCAGTCAAACTCTGAGTTAGTATGTTCTTTTAACATTGTCGAAACTAAAGAGGTTTTCATGAACTGTAACCAGCACCACCATTGCATTGTTACGACCTCAGCTCTGTCTTTTCACTTACAGTGGAAGTTCTGTCTTGTCCAGTTTTCATAGCACTCTCACTTGGATGCTGCAGGCAAATCTTATTTTATCTTGCCATCTTGTCTGGTGAGATGTGATTGATTCTTTTAGCGGTTCTATTTTAAAGAATCTTTCAGACATTTTCAGTCTGGAACTGGGAGAAGCTAGAAAGCAGTTCCCTAATTATCATTTCTATTTCTTAATATTGATGACCTCTGTTAATTTTTAAAAATCATTAAAATGTGTGAAACTTCTTTTAGATGATCTGAAAGGACCTTTGGAAGCACATATCAAAAGTTACAATGCACAGCATGTTGGACTGCTGAAAATCATAAGGCATCAGAAAAGAGAAGGTCTGACACAAGCCCGGATTTCTGGCTGGAAGGCATCAACTGCAGATGTTGTTGCAATTTTGGATGCGCATATTGAAGTTAATGTAGCATGGTAAAACCAAGAGGATTTTTAAAATATGCTTTTGGATGGAGGGAACAGAAGGAGGAAGACAAAGAGTTTAATTGTATAATTGGGCAAGCATCTGTACATGTTTCTCCTTTCTGGCAAACCATGAGTTAATTGACAGGCACTGAGTTGTTGTATAGGGGTGAAATTGTTTGAAATAAGTAGTAAAAGAGTTGTATTACAGAATAAGCTGTTTAGTGAAGAACAAGAGAGCAGTGCCTCTTGTCTCTACACATTTATTGCATTTCTGGAAAAAAAAGACTGTATAGTGAAATGAGAATGATAGTGGAGTAGGCTGACTCCAGTACTGAAAAAATTTAGCCCTTTATAATAGGCAGCTGTAATACTGAAATAAATTTAAATTGACTTGATTCCTATTACAATTTTGCCTTTTTGGAATGTTTAGTTACTATTGTCTGTTAATTTAATAGTGTATCATAGCTTTGTAGGACTCTGGAATGAGATACAAAACAGGTATCTGATGATCAATGTTTGTATTCTGTTAGATAATGATCTTCACAGTGCTGTTTTGTTTCAAATGTCTTTAAGTTTCCTCTCCTCTGGACTATTGAATTCAGTGGCTGACTATTGTCCATGTTGTCTTTCGTCCTGGGAACAAAGTTCTCTCACCTCTCTTCAGACAAAAAGGCAGTTTTCTTAAGATGTCTCTCTTCTCTTTGGATAACGCATTTTCTGACACTTCCTAGTTGTTACAGTCTTAAAGGTAATACCATAGGCCTTCATGCATGGCTTTTAGGACCAAACTGCAAAGAGCACATAGGGAGAGAAAAGGTCTATTCCTAGAAGCCTAAGAGTAAGAGTTCCAGCAAAAAAAACATAAAGCTGTCCCCTTGCCTCATATTGGTCTCTTCCTCCTGCATACTGCCACTATGCCATCAAGGCACAAGAAAGAACCCTCTCTCAAAGGGGAGGATCAGACCTTCCTCAGGCCTTATAGCACCTCTCACCTTTTCTCCCTTTCCTCTCTTATCTCTTTGTGCAGATAGGGAAGAAAATTTTGGTGTCTGTAGGAATCAAAGTTAAGAGTAGAGGGTATGGTTAGTAAAAATAAGTGACAGTCAAGACAAAGTTGTCTAATGGAAGGGAGAATTGAGCTATGATGTTAGCAAATTATACTACTGTTGCTCCAAGAACAGTAATACTCTAGAGGCAAAAATCAATGATTAAATAAAAAAGCTAGCACAATTTTAGAAAATGGTTATGCAGTTTAGTTCCATTTGCAAGACTTCCACTTCTTCAAGGTGACTAGGTGTTGGTGAATTTTTGTAGGGCTGAACCTATCCTGTCTCGAATTAAAGAAGATCGCACTGTTATTATATCACCAGTATTTGACAATATTCGCTTTGATGACTTTGAACTTCTCCAGTATGCAGTGGCTGCAGATGGATTTGACTGGGCTCTCTGGTGCCTTTATGAACCTTTACCAGCTGAATGGTATGCTCTCAAAGATGAAACAGCTCCAGTTCGGTGAGTATGAACAGAATTCAGAGGGATATGATATCCAACTTAGGAGTGGAGGAAGGGAGAAGAGATTTCCTAGATGGTGGGATGGATACGTATGTAGCACTTAATGTCTAGATATTTGAAATTGATGCAAGGATATTTAGGTAGTCAGAAAAATCTCGGTGCGTCAGCTGAATTCCAGAATCTTCTGTCTGCTAATGGTACTGTCAAATTTTCAAGCTACTCTGGTCATGTTATTTAACTTTTCTGTCTTATGTTCCTTGCTTGGAAAGGTGGTAGCAGTATTCATTAACTGATCAAGACAAACTGTCACACCTCTTTGTATTTGCCCAGGAGTCTGGGTGGGATCTCACAGCTTTGCTGGACAGTTGCATGTCCCAGCTAGGAAGATTCACATGGATTCACAGAGGCACAGAATTCTTAAGGTTGGAAGGGACCTCTAGAGATCATCTAGTCCAACCTCCCAGCTCCAGCAGGGACACCTAGAGCATGTGGCACAGGGGGGCATCCAGGCAGGTTTGGAAGTCCTCCAGAGGAGACTCCACAGCCTCTCTGTGCAGCCTGTTCCAGTGCTCTGTCACCCTCACAGGAAAGAATCATCATAGAATCATAGAATTCATAAGGTTGGAAGGAACCTTTAGAGATCATCTAGTCCAATCTCCCTGCACACTCAGGATCACCTACAACATGTGGCACAGGGCTGCGTCCAAGCAGGTGTTAGAGATCTCCAGAGAAGGAGACTCCACAACCTCTCTTGGAAACCTGTTCCAGGGCTCTGTCACTCTCACTGTCAAGATTTTTTTCCTTAAGTTCCTGCAGAATTTTTGGTGCATCAATTTGTGGCCGTTTCCTCTAGTCCTATCGCCGTCCACCACTGAAAAGAGGCTGACCCCCTCCTCCTCACTCCCTCCCTTGAGGGATTTATAGACACCTATCAGATCCCCCTCTCAGCCTTCTCTTCTTCAGGCTGAGCAGGCCCAGCTCTCTCAGGCTTTCCTCATTGGGCAGATGCTCCAGGTCGCTATGTTCCAGGCCCCTGATTATCCTCGTTCCACATGCCTCTTGTAGTGAGGAGCCCAGAACTGGACACAGTACTCCAGATGTGGCCTCACCAGGGCTGAGTAGAGGAGCAGGATCCCCTCCCTCGACCTGCTGGCAACACTTCTTCTAATGCAGGCCAGGATCCCATTGGCCTTCTTGGTCACGAGGACACACTGCTGACTCAAGGTTAAATTAGTGTCAATCAGGACTCCCAGGTTCCTCTCTGCAGAGCTGCTCTTCAGCAGGTCAACCCCTAATCTGTACTGATGCCTGGGATTACTCCTCCCCAGGTACAGGACCCTCCACTTGTCCTTCTTAAACCTCATGTGGTTGCTCTCTGCCCAACTCTCCAGCCTGTCCAGATCCCTCTGAATGGCAGCACAACCCTCATTCATGTCAAGTCATGAAGTCATCATCAAGTCATGATTGAAATCATGAAGTTCTTTATTTAGAGATGTAGGAGCAATGCATACATACTGAGGTTGCCTTGAACAGCATTTTTCAATCATTGCACAATGCATATGGCTCTTTTACCTAAAGCAGCCCTTTGCTGCTAGGGTTATGATTCAACCTATTTCCTTTTGCTTCTCACAACTCCCTCAGATTTGTGTGTATATATTCAAAATAAAATGATTGCAGGTACTATGATATCAATAAACATCTTTTGCTGAGTAGAAGAATTGGCCTCCCTGTTTTATACAGATGACATGTGATTTTTGCAATCCCTTAATAGCAATCAGAAAGAATTATTAAAAAGCCACCAACAGATAAGGCATATTCACCAGATTTTTCATTTTTCTAGTTCTATTGTATTTACATAAACTAATTTTAAAATATTCTATGTAAATCTTGAAACTCGCAGCAAAGACACTGCAAAAACATTGCAAAATCATGTGTTTCTCAGAAGAGATGGAAGAATTCTTTACTTATATAAGTAAAATGGCCAAATGCCAGAGCTAAGGCTGCCTGGATGCCTAGATAAAAGCTGTTAGTGAAATTGTCGGTATTAAAAATGCTATATAGTAAATATTAATGGCTCAGGCAGGACAATGAAATGAAAGAGATAAATGTAGCTTAAAGAATGGTTAATGAGAAGATCACAATTTTTGGACAGACGAAAACAGAATTAGGTTTTGTCATAAAGGATGAGAATACTGAAAGAATTAGAGAATCATGGAACCTATTGAGGTTGGAAGGGACCTCTAGAGATCTAGTCCAGCACCCCTGTTCAAGCAGAGTTGCCTACAGCATGTTGCCCAGGACCCTGTCCAAACAGCTTTTAAATCTCTCTCCAAGGAAAGACTTCATAGCTTCTCTAGGCACCCTCTTCCCATGCCCAGTCACCCCCTCACTGTAACTAATTTCCTTATGCTGAAACAGAGCTGCCTGAGTTTGTATGCATTGCATCTCATTCCATTGCTGGGCATGACTGGGAAGAGTCTGGCCCCATCCTCTTTACATCCTCTTTTCAGACATTGATACACATTCCTAAAATCCCCCCAAAGGAGTACCATGTCCACTTTCAGCCTCCTTTCCCCCATACTCCAGGCTGAATTCAACAATAGTAAAATTGTTCCTGCTGTTTCCTTTCAAAACCTCAATTTATAGTGGAATCACTATAAAGTCCCCTTTGGCTTAGTTTTACTATTTTAGCTTCTTTTATGTTAGATAAAATCTCCTAATGTCTAACCCAATCCTAACTTCCTGCAGTTTTACCTGACTCTTTCCTCTTGTTTTATACGTCTGAAGACTTTTGCTATGTCTCCTCTAGTTACATTTTTTATGTTTGGAATCTTTTCTGTTGATCTACTTTTAACTACGCAGTGATTGATTAACTTTACTGTGTTTTCACCATGGTTGCTTCTTTCTAATTTTACTGTTTTGTTCTCCAGGAGCCCATCTATAATGGGGATTCTTGTTGCACATAGAGAATTTTTGGGTGAGATTGGTGTCCTGGATGGTGGAATGCACATATATGGAGGAGAAAATGTGGAACTTGGCCTGAGGGTAAATGTATTTTTTTAAAAGAAGCACTAAAACTTGGCACATGATTTTTGAAAGTATTCATGTCACTGGTTCTTGCCAAATTCATTGTCATTTTTTTCAGAATAGCTCAGTTTATTTTAGATATAAAGAGAACTGGATAGATTTCCATAAGTTTTTAAGACGCAGCAGGACAGTTTTGTGAATACTGCTTATAAAGTTTGGCTCCTGACACAAAAACTTGGCTTAATGAGAAAATACCAAATCAAGAAAAGTGATTCTATACAGAAGTTTTTCTTTTGGCAGTAGAAAAAGAAGAAATCATAAACTTAAGAAATATTTTTAAGAGAAGCAGGTGCACCTGTTGTAGAAGATAATGTAATTGTCATCTTTTTATGCTTTCAGCTCAAGAATAGATCCTTCCTTTTGCTAGAGTCTTACCAGCAGTTTTTTCAGTTTTTACTGAGCACTAAAAATGCTCACTAATGCATTAACAAATACTTTTGAAAAGTAATGGGAGATATTATGGAAGGATTAAGAGACAAAAAATGAAAAAGGCACTTATATTTAGAAAAAAGAAAATGGATGGAAGGGCATGAGATAAACTTGTTTATAATTCTGAGCAAGATTTCAATTTCTTGGAAAAAAATGGATATTTGCTCTCCCTACTGAAGTGCAAGCTAAGGAGCTTTGAGACACCTTAATTACAAAGTTCAAATTATAAGGAAGTGATTCTTCACTCGTCAAATACTCTTACTCATTCTTTACTCTTCAAATGGAACTTCTTACCAAAGAATATTGTGGATCTTGAAAACATACAGAGATACATGGGCAGAATGAATAGATTTTTCAAAGAAAACCTGAAAGTTAGGGTACATATGTGAACCACAAGAACATCCATACTTTGGCTTGTTTTTCCTCTTTCCCAGGCCCTGGGAAATGGTTTATGGTCCCTGCTAGATGCAGAATACTAGGCTAGATGGGTCTTTTTTCCAGTATGGCCGTTCTGTTATCTTCTTACAGATTTTTCTTTATTTTGGGATACATGAAACATGAAAACTAACCAGCTACAGTGATGTAGGTTGAGGAACATCTAGCTAGAAAAGATCTTTGAGTAACAGGCTGTGAAAGAGTCAACAGTCATGCATGTGATGGAGATGTCCAAAGACTTTATGCTTCAGTTTCTGTCTTTAAAATAGAAATTTGACATGCCATTAGCTCACATTGGGTAAGGCAAGTGGTGAATTAATATTGAGTTAATATTTCAGTTGTCTTGCCTGAAAATACATTTACCCTGTTAGGCTAGTGCTGTGTGGTCTAAGCTATTGCCATGTGAACTTCGCAGCTTGAGTTTAAATCAGCACAAATCAATTGATGTACAGAGCTTATCATTTCTTGAAGAGCTTCCACTCTTGCACTGGCTTATGCAGTCAGGTTGGGTGCATTTCTGCTGAATCTTAGTGGCTTTGAAGTGTAGGTTGTAGCTTAACTGCTTAAATACCTCTGTGGATACCATATAGGATGTTCTAAGGCTACTACTTGAATTCTCTCTAGTTTATAAGATTCTGCAGAACAAATTTTGTCTTTGTCATCTCCTGAACAATATCATAATTTCTGAAAGATTCAAGTCTGCATCCACCATGGTCTTTAGCTAGCTGACTTCCAGTGAGCTCATTTGGAGATATGTAGTGGTTTAACTTTAGCACAGCTGGGCCAATGGCTCTGAGTGCCTTAAACTGAAAACTATTTTTTTGGTTTTGCTGATGTTAATGGCAAAGAAAAAGAATAAAACTTGGACCTGAAATACGGCTATATATTATGGAATGAAAGATACTGACAAATTCTCTTTATTCACTTAAGAAATAGGACTTTGAATGTTGAGAGCACATAAATCTGGTAAAAGAGTAAGGGGAGCAGAAATAGGATCATTCTAACAATACGTGAAAAAAAGTTTGAGTAATCAGGCAAATTTACCTGAAATTCTCTCTTCTCAATCCAGGCCTGGCAATGTGGAGGGAAAATAGAAGTATTGCCCTGCTCAAGAATTGCTCATTTGGAAAGAGCTCACAAGCCTTACTTGCCAGATTTGAGTATCTCTGTGAGACGGAATGCCTTGCGGGTGGCAGAAGTGTGGATGGATGACTACAAATACATGGTCTACTTAGCATGGAATCTTCCAGTGGAGGTGGTGGTATTTCCCTGTATTTCAAATTGGGATCCATAGTCTAAAAGTGGTCAAATAGAGCAAGTGATGCTCTGATGGAACACAAGCTTGAGTGATTATGAGATACATTATTAAAAAAAGAGTTGGTAATACGCATATGTTAGTTATTAATACAAATGGCATCCATCATCTTTAGCCATTCCCTTTATGCTGTGATGTATAGTCACAGACCAAGAGGTAATAGCTGGTTTAGAAGAGCTTATAAACAAACCAATTAAGGTATATTTTATCTTTTTAAGTGAAAGAATTAGTTTACCTGGAATCCTTACAAATTTTTGTAAAACAAAATTTCTCTAATGATTCACATGTCCCTGTATAGGCAAAAGTGAATCTTGAATAGACAAATCAATTGCTCTTCATCAAATATCAAGTAGCTTCTATTTAAGTGAGCTCTCCTGTCTGTATTTCAAAATTCTACTTTTGTTTTCTTGGAAGAAAAACAAAGAAGTCTTGTAGCATCCTAGAAAGGGTAGAAAAATGCTAATATCAAGAAATTAAGGATTCAGAATTCTCAGTGTTCATATAGTTGGAAAATTTCCTTTTTCATTTTTCTTTTTTATTGTCATGCTGTTCTTAATACAATCTCTTGCATTGTGAATTAAAACAGGCATCACACATATAAAGTGATTTTTAATGCTTTTCTTTTTTGGAATAATGCCAGGCTACTGATTTCTCACTTGGCTTGATATTCTTAAATTTCACTGAGAACTACAAAGTAAACCTTATGAAAGTAGCTTTCTGTTTGATTCTTTGTTAGATTTTTTCGTTTTCTTTGTACTGTGTTCAGATTTCATATTTTATATGCCCATTTATGAAAAAATTACACTTTCCTTTTCCTTGACTATTTTTCCTTTAGAGATAATCTGTCCTTTCAAATTATTTTTGTTGTTTTTGTTGTTTTAGTTTATCTCAGTAATTATGAATATGGCTTTAACTTCCCACAAGACAAATTGCTAATAACACTAGAAGTGGCAGCACCATTTTTTGAGTATTAATTTCTTCCGTGAAGATGACAAAGTTCATGAAGTTTTACTTCAAACTATTTATATATCTTTATTAAAGAAGTATACTCTCCTACCAACTTGTTTTCTTCAATAGATAATTGTAACTACTATTGTAATTGTAAAAATTTTAATATATACTAAAATATATGTCATGCTAAAATACATAGTCTAAATTAATACATTAAAATATTCTCTTCCTGTTAATTGACTTTTACTGAAAACATTTGGAATTTTTCTTATTTTCCATTTCTTTTCATCAAAAATGTTAGTCATCAAAAACAAAGCTGTGGATAGGAAAAAAGTAATATCTTTTCCACAGTGGATTAATTTCTACCCTTGAGAGAATTTTATTTTAAATAATGATATTTCTTTGTTCAAGCTAGTGTTCTTAATGAGCTCTCTCCTATTTTTTCACCTTGATTTACTTTTTATGTCACTGTAAAACAGGAAAACTACTACTTCCTTTGCATATGTAATTTACATCTGTGAAGTCATAATATGTTAGTTCTTCAGTAGCTTATTGGGACTTCAAAGAAAATATGATCTGAATTTCTTAAGTTTAAAAAATACATGTTCAAATGAACTTTTAAGTCTCAATTTTCTCAGATTGCATTAATGTGCTGTGATCAAATGTGGTGTTTTTCCAGAATCCTGGAATAGACTTTGGAGATATTTCTTCCAGAAAGGAGCTAAGGAAAAAACTGAACTGTAAAAGCTTTGACTGGTACATTAAAAATGTCTACCCTAATTTAGTAGTTCTGCCCAACATTGTTGCCTATGGAACAGTAAGTATTAAGTCTGTTTCTTTCAAATATGGTACAATTAACTCCAGTGTTACAAAGAGCTGTTGTCAAAAATTCTATCATTTGAGTAGAGTCTATGATATAATCTTTTAGAAAGGCTTCCAAATGTCTTTCTAGACACTAAAGTTTTAAAAAATCTTACTTGTATTTGCTGCCAATCTAGAATCTCTAAACTTGTTATTTTGAATGGGAGCATAAAAGTTACTTGGGAAAGTGCTTAATATGATTATTTTATTGTGTGTAAGGCTTAATTGGTGAGGAAGAAGAATGGATCAATATCTTCTAGTAATGCTGAGTCTTTGATTTGCTTCTTATTTGTGCTATGATAATCATTTCTGCAAGGTAGTTGGAGGTTCTTTTCTGACTTCATACTGTACTTTCCACTTCAGGATTTGATTCAGAGCTCTGAATAAAATATCTTTGCTCACAGGAAAGTTACAAAATTACTGGTGGAGTGTTGGAAACAGGATAACTGTTCCTTACGGTAAATTTCCTATTTTATCTTGTAGATGAAAAACACGTTGAAAGAAGATATCTGTATTGATCAAGGTCCTGTTCCTGGAAATACACCAATTATGTATGTTTGTCATGCATATTCACCACAGGTAATGCAAACTTCAGATATGAGCCATTACAATAATTCAGCTTCCCATGGGACTATGAAATGAGCATTTCAAAACTCTCTGTGCTATCTAGAGGGGAAGATAAACCTTTACTTCAGTAAATTCTGCAATTCGGTCCCTACCCCCTCCTAAACAAGTGATAGCAGGGTTGGTGCCTGTGGAGATCTAGGCATGTTAAATAGAGGGTTTTGGTTTCGCCTTACCAAAAAGATAAGACCTCATATTAATACTAACTGATCTTTTTGATTAACAGAATCTCAGTGGACTGAATAGGAGAGATACTGAGCGTTCCTCACACCTTGCTGCCTGTCCTCTCAGAAGGAGGAAAGATGAGGTTTACTATTCGGCTGTAAATACCTTGCTTTTGTTTTAGTCAAAGGAGAAAGATGCTGTCCCTTGTAGGGGATCAAATTCGTCCTGGTGAATTCTGGTTCTGTACAGCCAAACTCACCTACTGTGAGTTGCAGAACCATCTGAGATTTCCTTGCTATTTTAATTCATTGACAATTCTGTCACCTTCTCTTTCAGCATATCTTTTATCACAGCACTGGAGAAATATACATAGGAGGTTTGCGTGCCCGACTGAATATGATTGATCGATGTCTAACTGATCCTGGGAGTGGAGATGTGCCAGTTTTAGAGCAATGTGACATAGCTGTGAATAAAGGCCTGAACATGTACTGGGATTTTAAGCAAGTAGGTACATTTCTGTATCTCCACATTTCAGTAAGCTTTCTCATTATGAGGAATCCTAAACATTTTCCTTGCAAAGAGTTTTACTTCTAAATAGGGTTGCTTCAATTTCAGGACTTGCACATGTCAGTTGAAAAACTATGGTGAAATCAATGAGTTTGCAAGGATATGTGATGCTTGCATATAGACCTGTTAAAGACCAAGGGATAGTCACACATACACAACTGATTGACCTATCAGAATATAACCAGTTTCCATATGTTATTTGAGCTACAGACACTGATTTGTACACCTGGCTTTCTTGGTGGAATTAAGTGGCTTAATCTATAGCCTTTTACATGAGCAGGTGAAAAATTCTCACTTGCTGATTTAGCAGTCAGGAAATGTGCAAGACCTGTATGTCTCATGTTTTTGGTAAAACTTTAAGTTATGAACTCTCTTTGCTGTCTACCCTCCGTCTTCCCAACCTCCTTATGGGAAAAAATTGTTCTGGGGAAAGAGCAGCAGGCTGGTCTGCAAGTCCTGAGCACTTTCTGGAGCCATCTTTAGGAACAGAATGTTACCATGGAAGTCCCTGTTAGGGATCAGACTGGGCTCAGCCTTTCTGGGCTCAGGTTAATGATAAAACTGTTAAGTGAGTGCATAGTTCATTTGTCTTCATTTGTGCCGTACTTGTGGCAGCTGACACTGACATTTAAGATTCTAAGCGACAATTTCATATACTGCTTTCATTGTCTCTTCCTTGCATTCAGTCAGCTGGCAGATGCTGCAGCAGGATAAACAAGCAGCAGCAAGGAGGGGAGAGATGAGACAGGAGGCCATGAAGCTTTTCCCTTCACAGGCAGTTTAGATCTCATCAATTTGTACAATTAAAAAGTTATTTGTCTTACATAAAAACGGTGGGTCTGTTTACTATAACCCCCTCTCGGTAAAATGCTAGACAGGGTACAAATTTTGGGAGAGTGACTGAGTCTAGAATTGAACTGTTAAAAGACAACAAACAAATAATATGGCTCTATGCAGTCTCCAGAACAGTGATTTTGACATCAGAGTTCTTGTCCTTAGTCTGATCTATAAGCACAGAACTTAGAAAAAGGTGAAGATATATTTCTGAAAGATTTTAGACCCACCTTAAAAGTAAATCTTCAGTTCATTGTGTGTGTCAAACATCATTAAACAACTGAAGCCTGTTAAGATCTTGTTAGCTCTGTAGCCAAGCCTATTATAAACGTCATTATTTCCAATATGATCAGTGGACTTAGTCACACCCACCCTATTCACAATATTTTACATTGAAATACTAACAGAGATAAGAGGAGAATAATCTCTTGATCTTCTATAAGCCCCTTTCTTGCAGAACCTGATATTACTAAAATGACTTTTGAACTGTAAAAAACTCCACAAAATAGAATTTAAAAAATCCTCAGAAAACAGCAACAGAGTAAGTTTGTAAATATATTTTCATAAACATTGGAGATTTCTAAAACCTGTCATGCTTTAGTATGGAGAAAGTGCAAAACTTTTCTTTCCTGTATGTGGCTTGCATGAATTTGTCAGATTCATTTGTAGAGGCCAAGAGAATTACTTCTGAACTGGGCAGTACATTTTTAAGCCCCAAGCTTTTCTTATATTTTCCTTCTTTTTGTAGGGATCAGCAGTAATCAATAGAAACACTAAAAGGTGTCTTGAAATCACAGAAGACAATCAGGCTTCATACAGACTTGTGATGCAGGCCTGCTCAGGACAAAGATGGAATATTCAACATACTCTTAAGGACTGGGGAAAGACAAAAGATCTGGATCAGAAGACAGAGCATTCAAAGCATTGAGTGGAGGAACTTGCTCCATTAAAATTATTATGTTTATAACCCTGGAAGCAACAGTTTAAAGAGTTTGTTTATACAGCAATTTACAATATACTAGCTATTCATTTACGATGTACTAGCTACTTCCTGCAATTACAAGCTATGACTCCAAAGTTCCATGAACTCCGGGATGTACCAGAGTTTCCTCAGTTAGGAGTGGGATAGCCTTTGCTTCTAGAAGTATTTTAGCTAATTTAGCCTTTTATATTCTTTGGAAGTGACTATCTCTGCTCATTGATGGCGTGAGCCCTCTAACTTTCTAAATCAGGCATTTTAGACACATATCAAAATTTGGAAGGAGTGAATGTGGCTCTAAGACTTCGTACTGCACAGAACTTGCTAAAAAATGGACCATTTGTTTTTTCCTAGGTTGTGTAGTGAATTCAAAAAAATATCAGAGTGTGTCTATAGTAGAAAAGAAATGCATTCTTCTTCTGCTTGTCTTATGAATCTACTAGGCATGAATCTTCTTCTCAGTTAAGTTTATTAGATTAGGAAGTACCACACTAAAGTGGTTTTAAAGCTGTTTCAGTCAAATTCCAACTCAATCCTTTCTGCAAATGAACACAAGTCCAATGACAGATTATATATGTGTCCAAGAAACTCACAGAATCACAGAATGGTTAAGGTTGGAAGGGACCTCTAGAGAGCATCTAGTCCAGCCTTCCTGCCCAAGCAGGGACACCTAGGTCATGTGGCACAAGGCATCTAGGTATCCCTGCTTGAGCAGGGGATACCTCAGGGAAACTCAGTAAAATATCTCAGTAATTGCTGAAGGGAGGTAACTTGTGTCCATCTGATGCCTTCCACATAGTTATACTGTGCATTCTTGTTCTCTGTTTAAGAAATAGGGTTAAGTGGAATTGGCTGTTTCTGCTCCATAGAGTAACCACTCCTTTGTTGAAGGGAACTCCTGTAAAATAAACTTCACTGAAACCATTTAGAGTTTTGGCCTGAAGTAATTTCACCATCAACTGTGCCAAATATTTTATCAGCATAGAGAATGGGTTCAGGTTTTGTTTTTGAATATAATCTTGTGAACTGGTGTGCCTCCTAATTTCTCTATAAACTTGATGCGGATAATTTGGCTCTGAAATTCAGGACTACCCGGACAATCTCTTAAAACAATCTTAGGTTTCTTAGGGCCCGTTCACCTGCTTTTGTTTCTTTGTTTTATTCTGCAAAGTTATAGGTAAAAACATCACATTTTAATCAGACTACAATTAAATTACAAAAATCAACTTTTATTCCCATATCATTGATTAAAGCAATTACCATTACAGAAAGAGGAATATTTACTCTGGTTTAGTAGAGTGGATTACCAAAGTCCAAGGCAAGCACAGTGAACACAGTGAGAATTTTGCTGATACTAGTGAGATCATAATTTATCCTGCTGCTGCTGATGGTGGTGAATACATTCACTTAATTATTTTTCCATTTTAATACAATAATAGAACAAAATGTTGCAGACATTTGGACAATTTTCTTTGGAAATTAGAACTTGGAAAACATGAAAATATTTGGATTTTCTTTTTCCAAATGGACAGACTTTAGTTAAACATAAGTCAGCACTGAAAGAAAATTTTCCAATGTTATACCAAGCACATCTAAAGGATTCTTAGCATATATCAAAATGCCAAGTATGAGCATTTTTAATTTCCTGAAGCGCTTCCAGAAACATTTTGGCAAAACTTTTTAATGAAAAAAAAAGTACTCATAGGAAAGGAACTCCATTTTTAGACTTATGCTTTCTGGTGAGGTTTGATGAGACATAAATGGCAACACATGGATTTTATGCTGCAATGGTAATGCATTGTTCTCCCTGTTAATAACTTTCCATTCAGAAATTCACTACACAATGAAATGATTGATGCACGATTCTTTGACAAGTCAACAATATTGGTAGGATTAGAAAGTGTATGTCAAGGGGTATCTTGAGAAGGAAGCTATAACTGATGACATGGCATAATGAGTGAAATGTCTTCATTGACCTGAAAACGAGTCTTCACCTGAGCCTTCAGAAATACACACTTCAGCTCCTGCAAAATAAGAATACTATAGTATAATTTATCGAAAGGGACACAGGAGAAATATAATAACATAAGCAGGTGGTCTTAATGGGTGTACAGCCCGAAAAGCTGTTTTAATAAAACAACCTGACTTTTTTTCATTTGCACTTTTATGCCTGACTTTTCTCATGAAAATTACTTTCCTCAATTTTCCCCTCTTTATGGAACTTGCCCATTTGAATCATTACATTTATGTGTTATCATTGGATTATAGCTGCCTACTCAACTGAAAGGAATGCAAATAGGATCAGTGAGCAGATTTTAACCAAATAATTATTATAGCTTTATGCCCAGAATATGGGTTCCTATGTATAAGAAAATTTGGTAAAAGATTTTTTCAGAAAGTTGGATGATTTACTATTGCCTTCATCAGTTCTCCAATATATGTGTCCCTATCAGAACAAAGTTTTACCTGGCTGAGGTAAAGAGTTTAGCCAGTAGTGCCATCCAAGAAGAGTCCAAGGAGAGAGGCCTGGACTGAAGTGTCAGGCTGTTCAGAGTATATAAATGGAGAAAACACTTGAAGGTAAGCGCTACATAGCCTAGAGCTATTAGGGATGCATCAGCCTAAGGGTAGGCCGAGCACCCAATACTCTTCATGATTCGTTAGTGAAAGAAACCATCAGTGTTGATAGTGTGCAGTACTTGCCTTGAGCAACACCTGTACCTGAGCCAAAAGGGTGCATGGCTATGGAGAACAGAGCTCTTACTGTTGATAATTTGCCCTTTGATGACTTCCAAGAGCAAAAGGAGTCTGAGAGAGAAAGCCCTCAGTCCCTGTACTGAATCAGAGCCAGAGGCATAAAGGGCTCTACTGAGTCCCCAATAACTCATGGCACCTTATGTGTGGATCCCTGTAAGGAGGCATGGAAATCCACAGCCCTTGAGGCATCTGGAATTGGACATGTATCACTATGGATGGAGGGGGATCAATAGCTGTGGGTGCATTGGCCCAGGGATATATCAGGCAGCTGGTATTCCTCACAGCCTATTGCTGAAAAGAACAGTCAATGTTGATAATCTGAAATCAATTTTCCTTTGAGCAAAATGGGCCTCTGAGCCAAAGGAGTGCATGCCTGCTGAGAATGAGCAGAGTTGGGGTCTATTGCTAGATTTTGATATTGATATGCTGATATTGGAGCCTATGGATAGGTACACAAATGTACAGGCTTTGATGTCACTTGATCCTGATAGCAAGCGCTCACTGTCAACGCAAATCAGGCCTGAGAGCAAAAGCTTCCAATGCGCCAGTGACACGAAGGGCTCCTGTCAGCCCTGAAAACTTGTGGTACCTTGTGCGTTCATCCCTGTAAGAAGGTATGTTAATCCACAGCCATTGATGTATCTGGAAATTGAGAGGTATTGCTACAGACAGAGACGGATGGATCACTGCCTATGGGTGTGTTGGCCTAGGGATACATCGACCAGCCAGTACTCTTCAGGGCCCATTGGGGAAAGCAACAGTTAACGTTGATAGTCTGCAACACTTCCCTTGAGCAACATGGGCCTCCGAGACAAGTGAAGGGAAATCCTGCAGAGAATAAGCAGATTTGGGGCCCTATTGATAGGTTTGGATATCAATGTATCCATATTGGACCCTATCTGTAAGTGCTGAATTGAACAGACATCAATGGCATGTGATCCTGAGAGTGAGCAATCACTGTTAATGCCCTTTGATGTCTTCCAAGAGCAAAAGAGTGTGAAAGCCATCAATACTTATGTCAAACCAGAGGCAGAAGCATGAAGGAATCCTGTTAGACCCGATAACTCCTGGCACCTCTTGTGTGGCTTCTTGCAAGCCTGCAAATTTCCAAAGAAGTCAAGGATTCACCAATCACACAAGACTGGGCAGATTGAAGCAAAGATAGCATTCAGTAACTGCCTTCTCTGTGGTTTTTTTTTTGTTTGTTTGTTTTTTTTTTTTTTTTGTCAGCAGGGCACCAGCCCCCTTCAGCAGGTCCAGAAAGAAGTACCAGAGTTTTCTAGGTGCACAATGGGAATCTGAATTCAGTTTCCCTAAATGATAAGTTTTGAAGATTGAAGATTTGTGTCATGACTCTGGTTATTTAGGAGAAACCCATATCCAAGAAAATATTCTGGAAGGTGGACTTTGTGATCCATTGTAATGGATCTGAAGAGAAGAATACACTTAGTAACTGTGTTGTACATCTCATGGGAACAGCCAACAGCGGGCATTTACTGTGTGGAAAGGCAGAAGCTCTTTAGAAGATTCTTCTTTACTATCGGAATGTGTAAAACTAAGACCCGGCACCATGAGTGTCAGGCATGTTTTCTTTCAACTCCTCCTAAGAGCTTCTACATTATTAAAAGGGTGAATGAGGTAAGGAGAATGAAATCATGCTTAACAACCCTTAAAGAAAGCAAGCACTGTGCAGGGGTGAATCATTGGACTGTGATGGCTGCCTTGGTTACTTTGCAGTAGATATATATCATGAAGGAAAAGAAGCAAGTTCACATTCATAGCTTGCCTTTGTCTTCTGTATATCTCACTTTGTAGTCTTTATGGCCTACCTGTTTCACTGCTGTTTTACATAGTATTCCAAGCGGATCAGTGAATAGCTCTTTGAGATGCAGACCATCAGCTTCCAGATGGAAAGCATCACCTTCCATTGCTTTGTTGATGGGTTCTTCATAGAGAAATCCTTCCACAGATTTCTCTTTGAAAAAACACAAATAAATGAGAATATTTCAAATATTTCAATTTCAATATTCCAAAAATATATTTCAAAGGAAATAACTGTTTGATTAAAAAGAAGACATGCCTTTAGGGGAGAAAAACAAATTTCCAAGCAGTCCATGCAACTTTCTTAGTTTCCTGTGGAAGAGTTCATACAGCCATTCTGGATGTATTGTTGTTCCCTATTTACTCCTTAGCAGATCCAACCTAGATAAGCAGAGATATTACAAAAAGATATAATCCTACCAATTCTGTGATCCTACCAGTGAGATAGAGAACAGAGGAGAAAAGCGCTTCAGATGAATGTAGGATTTCACTGTCAGGTTTCAACTGCCATCAGCAACAAAAGTGAGAGAACTTATACAGGCTATCTTGTCTCAGGGAAAAACCTCAATCTCTTTATCTCTCTCAACTATGAGATTTAAATTTATAGGAAGGTAGTATTTCTGAACAATGAAAACCAGAAATACTTTCAGAGAGTAGAATTGGACAAATTGGTATTTTTTGTCCTTTAAGACAAACCCAGACTACTACTACTTGAATTGTAGGTATAGACACAACTGGTATTGGATAGAAAATGGATATGCCTTGTGTTAAGAAGTTTTAGAGATTTTTTTTTTGCTGATTTCAGAAGAATTAAAAAGTAAAAATGACAAAGTGAGACATTTTAAACTTAATATTTACTGATTTTTCTTCAAAAGAAAAAATATTTTGTCACTAAAAA